GCCCTGCGGCTCCCACAGAAAATGGCGACCAAAACATCACTGCAGCGGAGTGTCTGCCCCGTCCACCCCCAGGACGTACTGTGATCACTGAATGTTGTTTGTGCTGGTTTGCACCCAGCGGGGAGTACATCACATCCCTACGGCCTTTGCCTTCAATTTTAACCATTAGCAAAGCCCAATAGAGTGCAGAGCATGTACGAAACAGAAATAGTAGGAGTAGTAGTCCAGTTGCCCTTCATTTAACCTTCCTAACTATGACCTGGATGTCTGAGAATCTTCACAGACATCATAGAACTGGAGTTACATAAGGTAACCACTGTTTTCATCCCAGGCCACTGTCTCCAGCGCTAGCCCCCCTACTGTCCACCTCTAGCACTTACTTCACCAGTTTATTTCCCAATTCAGACATGTTGTTGTTGCAGATAGGACCTCCCCTCCAGTGAGACGCTCCGCTGTGTGTGGCAGGTCAGACCCTGGCTATCTGCGCCCATTTGCTTGGGCGCGGGGATTTTGTGAATTAACAATTAACATACTTTACATTAATGTCCCTGAAATATTTCATATTTTATTTTTTTTCTACAATAAAGCTAATACAATCATTTTATCCAACTTTATGCCTGTTTTAACTTTTCATTGTAACCGTAGGTACATAATGCATACAGTATATAGGTATTATATAGGTATAACAAGTCTACTCAAAGGGGAGTTTCTCAGTATAATCTTACAGGGACTGTCAGTTGTGGTCCTATCAAGGCTGTGATGGAGAGGGGGTTTGTTTGTGAGTTGTTTGTCACAGTGCACTGTTAAAGCTGAACAGTGTACAATACATATACATATAAGAAATAACATACATGTCAATAAAAGTGTCCCATCAGTTTGCTATTTTTAAGAGTGGACTCTGTGTAGAAGAATCTTCTGTCAATGAACCATATCATTCATCTAGACACGTGGCAGGATATCCTTTTATTTATTTATTTTTTTATGGATTATGGCTGTTTGATGCGTTCATATTGTTTTGTTTTATGCACCTGTGTGTAATTATTATTTGTGGATTTGGTCAGATTAAATTAGTGATTCACATCCAGGCTGCTATGTGGTACTGAACTGTGCAGTGTAAGCTATGCTAAGAAATGAGATGTGGGGAAATAATATAATAATTTAGAGACTTGTTGTCTGATTACTAATCGGAAGATCGGCGGTTCGATCCCTAGCTCCTCCAGTCTGCATGTCGAAGCAAAATACTGAACCCCAAATTACTCCACGTTGCACGGTAGCCTCAGTCATCAGTGTATGAATGTTTGTGAATGGGGTGAATATGACATGTAGTGTAAAGCGCTTTGAGTGGTCAGAAGACTAGAAAGGTGCAGTCCATTTAGCATCTATAGTGTATGGGGGTACAACTCATGACAGAGTACCACAGTAAATGTAAAAACCTAGCTGCTGCCCTGCTTCCGTTGTGTAATAGTGATTATAGGTCTAAATAAAATGCAAAAAGTGTGACCTTGCTTCTAAAACAAATAGTCAATGAGGATCATGACAATTTTGTGATTAAATATGGTGTCACACATACAACACAAGGTTGACAAAACCTTTCTCTACTTGGGGTCACAGGTCACTTGTTGCTGATGACATTCTATGTTTCCCTGTGTCAAAGTAATAACACTGTCATTTAATCAGCCAAACCCATAAATAATTCACCCAGGATCAGTTTGCTCATCTCAAGTAACTACAACACTCCTGGAAACCTACTGTAATATGCAAACAGGGAGGACCTACCACCTTATGTAGAACCAAACTTGGGCATTAAAAACACAAATTCAAATACCTGAACACTTGTGCAACTGAATATCCCAGAACAATTTATATGACTGGTTGGCATTTTGTGTGTGTGTGTGTGTGTGCGTGTGCGTGCGCGCGCGCGTGTGTGTGTGTGTGTGTGTGTGCGTGTGTGTAAAGGCTCTGGCCTCCTCTGGTCCACTGCTTCCTTCTCCTCAGAGACTGAAGTCGTCAGCGCTGTGGGATGGGAGCTCCCCTGGGGAAAAGGATAGGCAAGTGTTTCCCTCCTGCAGCAGGAAATGGGCGAAACCTTGCTTGGAATTATGACTCCAGCATTTTGTCGTGTGAAGGAAGCCACTCCTGATAGCACAGGCTATAGGTTTCCTGTTGTGGGCCAACAGCTTTGGCATCACATAGTGCTGTCATAGAAACTGAAAAATGCTAGGTCAAGAAGCACAGAGAGCCGTTCGGCTTTTTATCATAGTTTGTTACATAGTTACATTTAGGCCTAAAGGCACTTTAATACACTAACGGCATGCAGGAAGGAGTAGTTGTCACTTGCAAATCTCTCCCCTCACTCTCTTGTCAAGAAAAGCCTTCAACTTTTTTCGACTTCTGACAGGGGGCATGGCAGAAGGTTTGAGAACCTCTGGTGTAAGCCAACATGTCCTGATCTCTCCTGTCGTGCTGTTTGCATAAATGCAATTTATAATTAAATTTTATTCTGAGATCTTTTTACCCTGAGAGTTAAATCAAACAGCAGCTTCATTTTGACATTCACACTCAAGTCGAGACATTTGTTTAGTTAGTCTATCGCCGTGAGGCTGTGTGCAAAACTCATTTCCCAGCAACACCCAGGATGCCAAACTTGGAAAATACTATCCAGAGTCATATCAGGGTTACTTCCACTGTGTTATAAAATGATTCAGCTCAGATCCAACTTCAAATGCTGCATTGAGGACATTCCTATAATAAATTTCATTAAAAGAGGATTTCGGTTCTTTGACATTGCCACAACCCAGATCTTACGAGGGCTTTACTCCAGAAGAAAGAGGACTGGATCTGGATTGAACTGGACAGGATAGGAGAACACAGGATGCTGCTTCATGTGCTGGGATGTGTGGGTAAGACTGATGAAGCGTTCACATGGTGTGTGAGGTAACGATGGGAAAAATGCCAACTGTTACGACGTGCAGGTGTTCACATTGAGACAATTTAACACGGTTGTTGGTCGTGTGAGGGTTAAAAATACTGTGCACTGACATACAACTCTACACACAGTTTGGGTTAAATTACTTTGAAGGACTTCCATAGCATAAAGGCAAATATATCAGAGCTTTCACAAAATTTCGTTTTCCAGTAGTAATTACACCTTGGATGTGTCGTGCACAGTATTTATCTGTTCACAACTGGTGATTACAGAATGTACATATGACATGGACTAAGCATTATTAAAATACTATGACACTGAGTGCTACCATATCTAGATGCCCAGCTAACTAGCTTCAACATTATCTGATATTTTCAGAGTACCTCCAGACCCTGACAATAGGCCCCTCTCATGGTAGAGATATTTTCATGTCATAGCAGGAAAAACACAGTGACCTTAGAGGACTTTTTCAACTTTTTGTTTTTTCACTTTCTTTTTCAGATAGATGAGAAAACACTATCCATCTTAAAATGATTTTCTAATTTGGGGATGTGGCCATAGCAATGGTTCTGTTCTATTTAAGTGCCCTAGTAAGCCATAACAGTTCGACAGTTAACCAGAATGCACAATACCAAGGCCCTGAAACTGAAGCAGCTAGTATTTATTTTCTGTGGTTTATCTACTGTGACATATCAAAATGTCTAAAGGGCCTATGACAAGACATATGAAGGTTAATAGAATGCCTATAGGCCGACATCCTGTTCGGGTAGCAACCATTCATATTCAGCCTGACAAATGAACGTCACGCTGACGAGAACTTCTTGGAACACAAGGCTGCACATTCTGGCTGAATAAAAGACAGAATAACAGTGAAATTCACACAAGGTAATCTATTCATGTGATACTTCATTGATCCATGTTGAGGTCAAAGGTCAGGGTCCGCTCTGGATTCAGTGTTGCTCAACAACACTTCAGCTGGGTGTTAATTGACAAAGAAGCATGAAGCCAGGTCTAGATGAAGCACGCTCTAAAACACATTACCACCAGCATGTGTTGACTATTGCAGCAACTAAAGCTGATTTTTATTATCTAAGAACCTGTTTAATAACCAGTGGATCGTAATGTGTAGAACAGACTTTACATGCCCACTGTACCTTTATTTGACAACAGTAGCCACTACTTTATTGATAAAGATTTGGCAAACAAAACCCATCTACTTTTCTGTAATTGTAATGGAGTATTTTTAGTGTGAGGTAGTACTACATTGCCTTTACTTAAGTAGCCTTAATGATCTGAATACTTCTTCGACCACTGACACAGGCATTGAGCTTTAGTTTGTGTTCCCCAATATCATCATATTGTCATAAGGAGTTACTATAAATACTATTATAAAACAAAATTTAAAAAACTAAATGACTGATTTAGAAAAGGCTTATGTCCCCATTCTACCATTTCTAAATCACAGCTACCACAACATAATCCAGTAAGTAACCTGCAAGGGATTTAGCAGGAGAGCCAAACAGAACTTTCCATCTAGAATATTTACAGTCCATCTATAATTCTGTCCTCTGATTGTCCATACTGTAAGGTTACTATGTTGGTCTATTCTGTACACTCTGATCTATTTCCTGTCTGTCCATCCTGGCAGAGGGACCCCTCCTCTGTTGCTCTTCCTGAGATTTCTTCTATTTTTTTCCATTAAAGGGTTGTTTAGGAAGTTTTTTCTCATCCGAATCAAGTGTAGACTGTAAAGCCCCCATGAGGGAGATCTGTGATATTGGGCAATATAAATAAAATTTGCTTCACTTGAAATCACTACAAAAATGTACATATTTGCACTCTTCCATCTAGTGGTATCTAGCCATGCAGATACCAAAAACAATACCAAAAACAAAAGGTCCATTGTTTTGGGTCAGAAGCAGAAATCCAAGACAGATATCTCCAAACCTGGACAAAATAAACTAAATTGGTACTACAGTAAACACAGAATATATTATGTTATTTTGTAGTTATTTGGGTGAAAAGATCATTTTAAATCATTCTGCTTTCAAAGTACATTAGCCCAACAACAGCATCTCTGAAACAACATTTTTAATAGTTGAAATAAATACTCCATTACATGCATGATCAGAACACTTTAAAATACTATGGGAAGTCTGGTAAATAGTGTAAAACCTATGGCACACACTCACAGCAGCTTTTACCAATTAAGAATTCACACGTTGAAAAAAAAATAAAAAAAGAAGCAAGCACTGAGACGCTCAGATCACTCTTTCCAATCTCACAAAGCACATGTAATCAAATCAGCCAACCATAGGTTCACACAGCGAGGCTACATCCATCATCAAGGCTAGTGTTTTCACCAGAGCTGAAAACTGAGGTAAACTTTTCAGGTTTGAAGGCTGCTGTCTGTTGGTGAGAGTGGGCTGTCAGCCGAGCCCGGGTCAGGCCCAGAGCGGTCAAGTGGACCGTTTCTAACAAGATTTGAGTCGCATCCAGCGCGACACAAAATCCTGCAGCGGTTGTTGTGCTCCTCTGCATGTCAACCGCATGAACAGACCCACAGACAGCCTTCTGCTGATGTTACTCTGACTCTAAACCTGATGAACAGGGATAACCCAAGTGAGTCTCTTTGGTACGTCAGAATAGGACAGAGGGGACCGGAGCTCGTGTTGCCTCTTCCTAAACTAATTCACAGAATGAGAGTTGACTGGCGGCAGAGTCCTTGGAGAGGAGCGTTCTCTGAGCGCCTGTGTGAGCAGAGTGCAGCCGTCCGAAACAGCACACGCTGAATTACGCAGGCGCTCACGGTAGTCTGCCATTTTGGAGCTGCTCTCTGGATGCTGTGCAACATCCCTGAGGCCCTGAGTGAGGAGGACACAGGCTGAAACCACACTCATGGCCCCCCCTAACACTGCAGTCTGTACCCCCTTCCCTTCAGTGGAGATACTCGCAGCCCTTCCCAGGAACTGAGGCTCTGTCGCAAACCCGACCAGGGCACTGACAGCCTGGACCAGGGCGGCACTAAAGAGGACGCAGCGGTTCCTGGTCAGCTCACTGGGCTGGGTTTTCACCTCCTTGACACAAGCCAGGAAGGCTGTGCCGCTCATGCTCATGCTCTTGACACTCAGTTTAAACTGCTCTTTTGCAAAGCGGTCCCTGGACCTCTCGCTGGCCAGCGACGAGATGTCCGTTAGATTCTTGAGGTTGGTGGAAATGTTCTGAGAGAGCTCGAGGAGGAGCTGGGGGGTGAGGTCTGGCAAGGGTGTGACTCGGAGGACGCTGCAGCTCTGCTCCACTTCGTGCCGGCAGCGGGTCACCTTGTAGCGGTCCACCAGACCCGGCAGGCACGACTGTGAGCCGGGGGTCTCCACGGCAGCCAGGTAAGCAGCGTGAGCCGAGCACTCTGTCAAAGACACCACCAGGTCGGCCATCTCCAAGAGGCGGTCCCCCACCTCGGTGAAGCGGCCCATGTTGAGCTGGCTCTGAATGTCATGGGTGAGAATGGAGAGCTCTTTAGTCCTGGCGATGACGGTGTCGCGGCACTGGTCGAAGGTGTCGGCCACTGCCACACCTTCAGAGGTCATGACCGGCCTGGTCTCACTGGACAGCAGGAGGAGGTCGGCCACCAGCTGCATCTTGGCCTTACATGTGTCACAGATGGAGGAGAGATGCTTCCTCTGCTGCAAACTGCCACTGGGTGTGCTGGGTGATCCCTCGCTAGCTGACTTGCCAGAGCCACCACTAGCCATAATAGGAGTGGAAGGGAGGGGGGGGTCAAACAGCTCCTCTGGAGGGGTTAAATTATTTATAGTTTTCTGCTGCCTCACACTGCATTGTACTGTTTAAGACATTATCAAAATAAGCCTCACCCCACTGCTTTTTACTAACTCTTTTAAATAACAACTGGCCAAACAGTCTTCCTAAGCGTCATTCAGAGTACTGGTGATCAACTGTACATTATGTTAACACACAGGACGTGTATTCTCAATGTAAACATGTAGAACGAGCAAAACTCAACTACTGAATTTACTTATGTTGAAGTGTATTATGATAAAAGCCTAAACTGTGATCTAGCATATTCCCAGTTATCTGCCTTGGTTATTAGTAATTTTACAATGTAACACAACCGATTTAAAAATCCATACAACTTCTGAGTAATCAGTGTAATAAGCTATATGCTCTTATCTTGACAAATTAATTTAAATGCCCTGAACACCATATTCCAAAAAAGTCTATACGCTCATTGTAGTCCCAGGTTTTTGTGGAACAGAATTCACAGGTTGCTGAATTAAAAAGGAAATCACACACACTGCAGTGCTGCCAAGGTGCCTTCTAAAGGCAAAGTGCAGATTGAGAATTAAAAAATAATGTCAAAAGCTACTTATCTTTTGACACAAGAACACATTCCCAATTGGAATTACATCTGCTGAACTGCCTCTGTGCTATTTTTGTAACGTAGGGTTCCTTCTCCGAGGTTTTTTTATGACTATAGCCAAGAAAACAAAAGCTCAACATTTAGTAGTTGCCCTTGTCAGTCTTTTTTTGTGACTGTAATCAACAGGATATCATTTTGTGTCCACTCGCATCAGAGCAAGTAGCCTGGAAGAGCATCGAGATCTTCTCCGACTTGTTCCCAATGAGTTTGACCGGCCTGTCGTACTCATGCTGGATACAAACGGGGCAGCACCCGGGCAGCTCTTTTGGACAGCGGGAAGACCTGCGTTTCCCTCCAGCACCATCATTTCATGAGTCCTCCCAAGTAAAATCCACCGGAAGACCAGACTTTCCAACAACATAAACACCCTCAGTCCACTTTCAACCTCTTCTTTTTCAAACAGAGTCCTGGGTTAGAAGCTAGCAGTTGCTCCGGTCGCTTCGACTCCATATACATCGTCCGTCTGTCCGCCCTCCACCTCCTCCTCTGCGTCTTAGCTCGGGACCAGATGGTGTGTCGCCCCGCATTTTCTCTGTGGGGACTCCCTTCTCATAGCCATATCAGTCGGTGGTCTTTAAACATTTAACTCACTTGACATGGCACGTCCCACGATCAGCGAAACCGTAAACGTAGCTGGAAAAGGTGGCCGTTATTCCCAGAGATTCAAAGTCGTGCTGCGCGCTCCCGCTGCAGTACTATGAGGAAGCAGGGAGGGTGTGGTCGCGGCTGAACGGCTACTGGACCGAGCAAAGTTGTAGCAACAGAGCAGCGCAAGTAGCCCTTCGCTTAAAATAAACTTTTCACCGTGTCTGTGAACTGATTGTTGTCTCAGATTAACGACGTCGCAAGGGAAGTTTCTTGTTACACGATAGCCAAAGAGCTCCGACGAGTTTTACGACTGCTTTTACTTTCAGGACTGGCTGCTAGTCTGCCATGAGCATGAGACGTCCCTGCTGCCGTCAAGTGAGCCGCTAGCGCAGCTACTTACAATGACACCGGATGCTTGGGTTTTCAAAATAAATCATGAGCTGGGAATATAGAGGTGTTTTGGGAAACTGGGGCCATATTACAGAAACTTCCTAACCTGTACATCCTATCCTAACTGCTTGGTAACCATGGTAATAAGGGTTAGGAACTGATTTAGGAATGATTTAGGAATGCCATTACAGATTAACAGTTCCTAAGTCAATGTTCCTTTCCTGATTTAAGATAGGAAAAGTGTAATACAGAAGCATCCTAACTTCATAAAATCTTAATAAACAACAACAACAAAAACTCCTAACTTTAGGATAACTGTTTATGTTATTTATTAGTTTCTGACTGATGGGGGAAAACATTCCCCAAAAACTACTGTATCTCTGAACTCTCACACGTAGGCTATTCTATGTGACCTCCTTCTGATAACTAATGCAATAAGTAAAGTAATGTTGTTTCACTGAGCCTCCCCTGAAACTGTTTGGAGCCCCCCCAAGGGAGATCCGCCTCACACTTTGAAACCCCTGACCTAACATAATGTAAAGGCTTGATGTAACAAAAGTAGGCCTATTCTAACGCAAGTGTTTGATAGAAGGAGATCATTAAATCAATCAAGAAATACATGAAAAACATGATGACATTAGTCCGCAGCCTTTATAATAATTATTATTAATTTTTTTACATTTGTTATTAACTTTCCCGAGAAGAGTAGCCCACGGGTTTCTGCCGGGGTCAGTCAGGGAGCACAGGAGGAGCCACCAACGGTTTTCCTCTGCTCTTTGGACACAACAGTTGCCTTTCTCTTCATATCACTTGTCAATGGATTTATTTTCATTTTGACAGCATCAAAGCTCCGCCGGATGCCGGATATGCAGAGGTGACTGTGTCCGCTATTTTAGCCCACTCTCTAATATTTAATACCCCGAGTTAAGTGTTATGTGAATTTGGATTTCTCGACGGAGGTTACCAACACCTCTAATAGGTGTCATTTACACTGGGGACGCTGGGGACACCACCATTTTGAAATGGCTGATTTTGTCCCCACCACTTTTTTAAAGCATTATTTGTTAAAAAGTGTTCTGAAATATAGCTTGTAGTTAAATAACAAGTGAAAATGCCTTTTGAAAGGTTTATTTGCACATTAAGAAAACATGCATTGCAATTAAACTATAGAGTAAAATCACCCCAAAATGTGCATGTAGTAATCAGTAATTTTAACAGCTGCTTGTCACAGTTTCTTTTAGGCCAAGTTTTCCGTTCTCTCCCTGTGAACATGAGGAGGGAAGACTAAACCATGCATAGCCAACATCATGTTGCCTCAGCAGGGATGATTTACATGAGAAATGTTGATTTACAGGAGAAACTTATCTGAAAGCAACACAGAATGCCTGAGAGCTGCACTACTTTATATTATATTATATTTATATATTTTGAAATGTTACATGCTAGCTACCTGAATTTTGTGTTTCCTTTTAAATAAATAAAAACATTTCCACCATAAATTGGTGCAGAAACATTAACCAGAATGCAGGAAATGAAGTGTTTAATGATCAGATTTTCCTGGGGGAGGTACCTCCAGACCACCCGCGCCTATATCTCGGCATTTAGGATTTCTTAACCTGAGATAAAGTTAGTTAGGATTTGCTAATTGGGAAAAATCATAGACTCTTCTTATCTTAAGACTTAAGGGACTTTCTGTAATACGGCCCTTGAAGATGTGTGGGTGTAGTGTCTACATTTAAAAACATGGATGTAGGTATAGGCTATGTTAATTGTTGCACACTCCTTTTCGGTTACTGGGTCACATGGTGGCGGTAGCAATTGGGGATATCACCTGTTCAACAGTTAGTAGGGACTAAGAGTAGGGTGGTGGGTGGGTGAAAGCCTAAGTTTTTCTGATTGCTGTTCAGACTTTTTATCACATTTTACAGGACTTCTTCCGGTTGTATGTAGTTTGGACCTTGTTGGATGCTGTATGGATGCTATATCACCTATCTACCTGCATCAAATGCAGCCATTGGATGTTGGATTCTTGGACAGTCAGTGCGTCGAGCAGATAAGTCTCTTTCTGTTTTTAGCTACCAGTTTATAGTGGAAAATATTAGATAAGTTAGAACACAAATTCACAGATATTTGATAGGGTGATTATTGTTAATGTTTACTCTCTAGAAATTATACTTCTTTAGGCCCATGAATGAATGATTCAGTATTTATTCTGGCAGCCTCAGACACTTCTAAAACAGCAGTAAGACCTTAATGTTGGGAAGTAAAATCTAATAGCCTATCTGATTGAACCATTTACATTTACTAAAATGTTCTGAGGGATTTGGGGACTTGTGACCTCAGAATTTTTAAGATCATGGCTATGGCCCCGCTTGCAGGTAGATTTTTAAGACAGAGCTATTACAATTATAGCTGCTAAAGTCAGCGATGTAGGAAGTATTTGAATGTTTTACTAAAGTAAAAGCTGCAATTCCACTGTGTAAAAATCTGCACAATAAAAGTCCTGAATTCAAAATTATGCTTAAGTAGAACCAAAAGTATTATGCGCAACATAAGTCAAAATTGACTTGAGAGTGACCTCTTACAAACAGTGATATATTATATTGTAGGATTATTATTATTACTGATATATTAACAAGTAATGTGCATTTTATTGTTATAGCCGGTTGAGATGAAACTTATTCATTGAAACTGCTTCATACAGCTGGGTAGTTTATAATATAGCAAATAATCATCAATGTGATTATATATGTTGGGTATAAACCTTACTCCTTATCGGATATTTCTGGCTAGTTTGTGTACAAACTTTATTTTGACAGTTACGTCGGATGTTGTATTGTTTACGCTGACGTCTTCTGACTTCTGCCTCTCAAGCCCCAACGTGCTGCTTGTCAACTACCGGTACTATCAGTGTCGACTAATCCCGATCCCGGCCCGGATTGACTTTAAGTATTCTATTCCAGTAGTTGTATAACAGGCTACAAGTTTTGATTGTCGAGATGAACTGATACACCGAGGGAGTCAGAGGAAATAAATGTTGTGATCAAGCAGCAGGCCAGGCTACATGCAGCGCTCGTTAAAGCTCCCTCTTAAAGAATAGCTAGCTATGAATTTGTAAGGTTACATCATCATCATGTTGTGGGAACACGGGCAGAGCAGGACATTGCTTAAATTAGAAGACATCTTGACAGACTTGGTGTAGGAGGTACAGGCCTATTAATCTTTTTAAATGGCACACACTTGAGTAAAATATCTACTTACATTTGCACTAGTTGGTAGGCTAAATGGGAGTTATTTCACACACACACACACACACACACACACACACACACACACACACACACACACAGTTACACATTTATGTTTGGAAAGTTTAAATGTCACAGATGCACAGATAACTCCCTCTCAACACTGCTCCATATAACCTCAGAGTTTCCTCATGGGAACCTAGTAACTGTTGAAAATATGACTGAGTTATTATCCAGTTAATAAATGCAGATGTTGATTGTATCCAATCATATGAGTTGTTGGGAAATGTATTTAACTGTATTTAATGGGCCACTGAGGAAGAATCAATCAGTGTGATACCAGAATATCACTGGACACTCACATGTGTTGTTTTCATTTTCCTACAGTGCTTTATCAATGGATTGAACAGTTGTTAGCAGTTGTTACATTTAAAAGTCCTGCTTTTAGAATTGTATTAGACTACAGAAGTATTATCAATATATTTATGTAAAAAAAGTGTTATATAAAAAAGTGTTATATAAAGTGTTATAGTGTTATATATAAAAGTTATATATTATACAATAATATGCATTTGAAGATAGTTGAGGTGTAGCTATTTTTAACTCACAGATGTCACTTATTTTGAATGACCTCCTCCCAGGTCTGAGCTTGATTGATAGCCTATGTATCTTTGAATACGTTGCGCCTGTAAGGGCAGGATAACTTACACCTTCATCATTCAAATCAAATCAAACTTAATTGTCATATGTACAGGAAACAGTTGTCACAGAGTAAAATGAAATTCTTATTCTGTGAATCCTGTCAGCAACATCCAACATTAATGAAACGATACGAAAAGATATGTAAATAACAATGTGCAGAAAAGTAGAGGTGTTGCGGGCCTTCCTGTTGATGCTGCAGCGCTGTTAAGGCTGTTCTAGTGATGGTTTTGGCTGCTGTCACCACTTGTTGGAGAGCCTTGCAGTCCTGTGCTGTACAGCTGCCAAACCAGACCATGATGGAGATGGTCAGAATGCTGTCAATTGTACATCTGTTGAAGCTGCTGAGGATTTTGCTTGGCATGCCAAATTTCCTCAGCCTTCTTATGAAATACAACCGCTGTCGGGATTTCTTCACCAGTTGTGTGATTCTGTGAGTCCAGGAGGAATCTTCAGATATGTGAACACTGAGGAATTTGAATGTTTTCTCTTTCTCCACCACAGTCTCTCCAACATGCTGTGGTGGGTGCTGTTCCCTCCTCCCCCGTGGGTCAGCAACCATCTCATTTGTTAACGTCAAGGAGAGGTTGTTGTCCTGACATCACTTAACAAGGCCAGCCTCCTCCCTCCTGTATGCTGACTTGACACCCCCAGATATCAGTCCAATGATTGTAGTATCATCAGCAAATTTAATGATACTGGTGTTGTTCTGGGAGGCCAAACAGTCATGGCTGTTATGTGTGTAGAGCATGGGACTCAGCACGCAGCCCTACGGAGTTCCTGTGTTTATTGTCTTGGATGTGTGATTTCTCATTTTGACAGACTGGAGTCTTATTATCGTTCTTATTAGTACATAGAGTACAATATTCTAGGTGAGCAGATGTTTTTGGTTATCATCCAACATTGGCATCTTGTACAATATCTATGCTGGCTTATATCAAGTAAATATGCCAGACATTCCCATTGTAAACCAAATCTCTTTGGGTTTTGGACCATTGGTGTGTAGCATAAAATGGACATACTCATTTAATGAACAAGTTCCTAAATTTTGTACTGAGTACCAAGTACTGAGTTTGACTTTCTTGTTTCTTAAGCTGTAGTTTCAATTAACAGAGGTTTCCAACATAAAAATAAATAAAATAAAACATTCAACTTTGCAAGTAGCCTAGAGCAGACTCAAACTTACTTAAATCCAACTTGAATTATTGCTGGTGGAGAAAGAAACTGGATTGTTGCAGTAGCAGACAAAAGGCCCCTCTAGAGAAATTATTTTTGTTTAAAGATGATGATGTAAAAGCATTCATTATTGTTTATATTATACGCAGTTAGGGTGGATTGACTAATACACAAATGACAAACAGAACAATAATACTCAACTTGAGGTGAACAGGAATAGCATATGTTTTCTTGGTAGAGAGTAAATTTGATTTATTGTTTATTTTGTGGTTGCAAAATGTAATATCAGTCTTTTCCAAAATTATTTTTAAGACTAAGATAAATAGATTCAATACATTTTTTATTTTGTACATAAGGCATGATGCGTGGTAACAAACTCTTTTCTTCTTGGTAGGATGTTGTGATAAACACGCTGTGAATGGATGTGAGTTGTTGTACTGTCAGTGGGACTTGCAGCTGCACAGGGCACAGTGCCATTGGGTGGAGTCGGCCAGAAAGGAAACAGCTCTACAGTTTGTGTCAGTTTCTGATCTCCAAGACCCCATTAAATGTGCTGACCTTCACACACAGTGTCTCAGTCATATAGCCACATGCTCACTGAGGGAAAATAATTGTCTACTAACGTTATGTTCAGGATTGTAGCGGAAAAGTTACAGTAAGACTAGTGCATTCTGTAGTCTGACCTTTATGTTATCATCTACTGTTTCCTGCCTGTGGACACGATGAAAGCTTCTTCCTGACTCTTATGGACATGTTTCTATCATTATGCTTTTTGACATTATTCACACACAAAAGTGCAAAGAAAAGGATGTAATTTTAACACTGCAGTACAAAAATATGCTCTATATTGGCACCTTATCTAAAATGATTGTTTTTGTCTGGTTATATTTTATATTTTTCTCATTGTCAGCAAACCCAAACCAGCAATGAATTGATCCGACTAACAAGTGTTGTCTGTGCATCCAAAGCCTGATATCTTCTACCTCTGCAGCAGAGCACTGCTAGAGAGCGCTCCTCTGTGCTGGAGCTACATTTTTGTCCAAAAACTATTAAAACACAATGAGCCACTGTAGCACTGGGTGACATGTTCCTTCATTTCAATAACACAAACTGCAGTTGATTTTGACACAATACCACATAAACTGCCCTGCTACTGGAAATAATCACTGAAGCTAATGTCTCCCCTCTGGTCAGCACACTCAGATACAAGTAAAGTTTCATCCCACAGGCCATTACTGTAATGAACAGTTAAAACAGTTATATAGTGCCAAAAAGCCTATTTTACTAAAACATACACTACCTAGAACTTATAAATGACATAATTACATTTGTGGACAAAGTATTCAGATCCTTTAATTTACTGCAAAAGTTTTGCATTGAAAATGTTATTAAAACTAGAATGAAAAATGTCCCCTGTAACTGTCATACTATTACATTATGAGATTTTTACTCTTGCATCGATGTAAAAGCAGGATTTTACTGCTGTTGTTGTTGAGGTGGAGCTCATTTTGAACTAATTTGCATTGGAGTGCAACTAATAATCATCATGAATTCCTCTGCTGATTATTTACCGCAATAATCGATTGATTGTAAAAAACAAACAAAAAAACCCCATCAAAATGTTCTCCCTGAGAAAAGCCCAAAGTGACACCTTCATAATGCTTGTTTTGTCTAACCAACAGTCCAAAGCTAAACATTATTAACACTACATGCAAATGATTCAAATAATTAAAAGCAGCAAAATGAAATGCTCTTGCATGAAAAATTACCTAAAAGATCAAAATAGTTTCAGCTGTACTTGTATAAACTGTTGACTAGTTTAATTTACAATGAAAAATCATACTTCATAAACTCTTCATGTTTTGTGTGTAAGTCTAACGCTATTGTAAAAGTACCTTATTTCCCTTTAATAGGTAGTTGAGTAGAAGTAGAAAGTGGCATGAAAAGAAAATACTCAAGTAAAGTACAGCCACCACAAATTTGCAAGTATTTGAGTAAATGTACTTAGTTTACTGTCCAACACTGTCTAAAATACACAGTTTTACAACACATATCATCTGTCATTGTGCATGCTGTATATAGAGTACTGTATAACCACCTGCTTCACGTTGCTATTCAACATTTATTTCTTTGCAATTTACAGTGTTGGTAACTGTTGTTTTTATATATACACCTATTTTGTCAAGGCATATAATAGTGGCATATAAATTGTTTGTTTTCTTTTGTAGCTTCATATTTCTGTTCTTCCTGTTAATCGTGTAAGTCGGGGGGTTTCAGAGTGTGAAGCGGGCCTCCCTAGGGGAGGCTCAGTGAATGAAAGTGAAACAATATTACTTTACTTATTACATTAGTTATCAAAAGGAGATCACAAAGAACAGCCTACATGTGTCAGAGATACAGTAATTTTTTGGACCTGTTTTCCCCCCATCACAGTCAGAAACTAAATGCCTTAGGACAGAGCTTTTTTTAAACTATTTGGTGTAGTCAGAAGTTATGTCAAACAGCAATATTTGGCTTTTTTGGCTCAAATGTTGAGTGTCAATGGGATCAGATAATATAATCATGATCCCATAGGAATCCCTGAATTGAGCAAAACTTAGCACTTTTTCCAGAAATGGAGAGAAATGTTTCGTCTGGCTTTATTGTGAAATCCCCTCACGCGGTGACGCCAGCTCCAGTCCGCCAGCCACCAGCCGGCTTTTTCCGGCTCTGACACGCCCCTCCCGCCTTGTGGCCGGCAGACTCCACAGCCAATCAGAACAGACCATCTGTAAACATGGCGTCTGACTTCAGGTGGAGATGTGTAGCGTTCCTACTCTGCACATATTTGCTTTGTGTTTTAGCGACTGGTAGCAAAGAAAATCCCAAGAAAAAGAAGGACATCCGAGACTACAATGATGCAGATATGGCACGGCTCCTGGAGCAGTGGGAGGTACTTTTACGTTAACGTGTTAGTTTCCATTAAGACATTAGCTAGCTAACTTACTAGCCGTTAGCTAAGTAAAGTATGCAGTTAAGTTAGCAGTGCATCAGCAGCAGCAACATGCAACTCGGTTTAACGTTAGCCCCGTGCTTGTACTAGTATCTAACCCGATATAAATCCTGAAATAGGTGTGGTAACAGAGATTAGTATCTAACATTAGTTCACTTAATGTTACAATGTGTTAGCGTTACCTTTTCGTTTGTTCCGTTCTCCAGTAACGTTCACAGTATCGTTAACTTTCTCCATTCAAATGTAAAAGCTCCGTATTTGTAACGTTATAGCGCCTTTCTAGTCTTTTGGACCACTCAAAGCGCTTTTACACTACATCTGCGTTCACACACATTCATACACTGGCGGAACAGCCACCAGGGGCAGTTCGGGGTTCAGTATCTTGCCCAAGGACACTTCGACATGCAGCAAGTACTCTACGATTCCCTAACAAACACAGTGTGCTTTGCAAATCCAAATCACCACTAAAAACTGAAGCGTTTTGCAAATACAGAACGTAGATCCAGCATGTCTTACAAGCACAAACCAGAAAAGTAGCAGTTTCCGTCCACGTCTGTCCAGACTGAATGCAGTGAATACTTGGAAGGAAATGAATAGAAGTTATAAAATGTATGTTTTGTCTAAATGGAAGTTATCACTATATTGATGATAGGATTCCAGTGAATATACATTCTTAAACTCATTAATGAAGTATTCTCATATGTATTGGGTAAACACATACTACTTGATGCAATGTAAAGGTTTAGATTTCACAAATGTAAATAAACATAAACATAAAGCACAATGCACAAATAAATGCAGAGTGATTTGTATCTGTTAATCTGGATCCCTGTCTGTGCTTCTAATTTACAATTTATCATAATTTGGAGGTCAGTTTAGCATTTTCCATTGAAAATATATTTGTTTTATATATACACCTATTTTGACAGGGCATATAATAGTGGCATATAAATTGTCTCTCTCTCAATGTGTGTGTGTGTGTGTGTGTGTGTGTGGTGTGTGTGTGTGTAAATGAATGGACCAACCATGTATTCAGGGTCACATGTGGTAGGTCAAGCGTTAACAATGCAGAGTGTGAATGCTTGGTGCATTTGTTCTTCATTGTTTCAGGCAGTATATAATAAGGCAGTATATAATATAATAATAATAAACCGACCACCCCCCTGTATCTGCATGAAATGGTTTGGTCCGGCCTTAGCGCACTGATCAGCGAAGGTGTTTAGTTGCAGTCAGAAGATGCGCCAGAAATACAGTGATCACAATGTTGCCTAGTAAACCAAAATCTGGTTTTCAGAAAAGGAAAGACAAAGGAAAGGATGTCACTCTGTAACCCAGTTTTTCACCAAGAAAGGTGGGCAGCCTTTAGTCTGTGAGTGGTGTTAACCCAGTGTTTCCCCTATATGGACATCAACAGGAGGGAATTCACATGGCAGAGCATCCGCGCAAAACTAGATGTAGGCTTATCAGGTAAAGTTTATGTAGCCTATAATTTTAACTTATAGTTTATAAGTTTAATAAGCTACAGCTGTGTAGAGCACAGAAGCTGTTGCCATGGTTACTATCCATAGAGCGTCTGCCGTTTACTTGCAGAGCGCTTGTCTCCCTGTCTGTTCTGAGAATTCTCACAGAATTCTGGTTGAATGGGTTGACATGTATCAGGGGTTTTAGATTTTCAATGTAAGATTAACTGTTGTGATGAGCTGCTTGTTAACTCAAAAATTATAAACTATTAATTAGGGCTGCAGCTAATAATTATTTTAGTAAGAGTATTCTGCAGTTTATTCCATTGATTGATTGGGATATCAGATAAGATCATCTCTATCTTCATATCATCTGATCATGGCTACTTGAGATCACCGGTGTTACGTTGTAGCAAGTCAGTGAAATGCCAGCATGGAAGAAACAGGCCGAAGAGAAACCGCCAGAAACATCTGTAAATGTACAGTGCAGTGTTCCCCACATAATTTCTGTGTAACTGTGGCGCTGCACTAGCGCAGCAGGGAGAAGGAGGGTGCAACTGATAACAGATATGTACAGCGTGTCAACCTCGACAATCCAGCTGTATTCTAATGTTAACATATCCGTCTCCAACATTGACAATGTTGTGTTGTGCAGATAGACTAACTTCTCAGAGTTAACTTCAATACACTCAATTTCAATTCAATTTTATTTATATAGCGCCAAATCACAACAACAGTTATCTCACAGCGCTTTTCATAAAAGAGCAGGTCTAGACCGTACTCTGTGATGCTATTTACAGAAGCCCAACAGTTCCCACCAAGAGCAGCACTAGGCGACAGAGGCAAGGAAAAACTTCCTTTTAAGAGGCAGAAACCTCGAGCAGAACCATGACTCAGGGTGGGCGGCCATCTGCCTCCACCGGTTGGGGTGAAGGAGAGAGAGAGAGAGAGGAACAGAGAAAAAGAGAGGGATGGAAGGAGAGAGAGGGGAGGGAGGGAGCCTACACAATATACACACAGAGGTACAGACAGTAAAGGTGATGTTGCTATAGACTGAATGAAAAATGGTACAGATATTTATAGTAGTGTTAATGGTAACAGTCGTAATGTTAATGATTATAATAACAATAGGACTAGTAACAATAATTGTAGCAGAGGGTGTCGAGCAGGAACACGGGGGCAGCAGGTGACCCGCAGCCACAGATCCAGACTCCACAGCTCCAGAGCCAGAAACACCTGCAGGAAGTGATAGGAGGAGAGAGGAGAGAGACGAGAAAGCACAAGACTACCAGAAAGGGGAGAAGTTGTGTTAGTAACATGCAATAATGGGATGAGGTTGCATACAGAGGGAGAGAAAGTAGAGGAGAGAGGAGCTCAGTGCATCATGGGAAATCCCCCGGCAGTCTAGGCCTATAGCAGCATAACTAAGGGATGGTTCAGGACTCACCTGAGCCAGCCCTAACTATAAGCTTTGGAAGAAATGGAAGGTTAGATATAGGTCTATAGTTGGCTAAAACATCCGGATCAAGTTTGGGCTTTTTCAGAAGAGGTTTAATTACAGCTACTTTAAAGTACTGTGGTACATAGCCTGTTGATAAAGATAGACTGATCATATCTAGTATAGAGGTGCTGACTAAGGGTAAAACATCTTTAAGCAGCCTAGTCGGGATGGGGTCTAAGAGGCAGGTTGATGGTTTAGATTAAGAAATTATTGAAGTTAGTTGGTAAAGATTGAGGGAAGCAAAACAGTCTAAACAAATATCTGGTTCTACAGCTGTTTCTAAGGTTTCTGAGTTAAGAGATAAGTCGGTGCCAGTTGAGGGCAGGTCTTGGTGAATTTTGTCTGTAATAGTTAGAATTTTATCATTAAAGAAGCTCATGAAATCGTAACTACTGAGAGCTATGGGAATACTTGGCTCAATAGAGCTGTGACTCTCTGTCAGCCTGGCTACAGTGCTGAAAAGAAACCTGGGGTTGTTCCTATTTTCCTCTATTAATGACGAGTAGTACGCTGCTCTAGCATTACGGAGGGCCTTCCTAAACAGACTGCTCCGTTTCAATGTGTTTGTGAGAGCGAGCAAGAGAGAGAGCAAGCGGAGGTGCTGAGTGAATCTGCGCTGCGCACAGCTCCATGATGAATTATGATTTTACTCATATTAAATAATATATAGTATGTGGCATTCAGCGTTAACATTGTCGCATGCTGTGTCACCACAAATCAATGAATGGGAAACACTGCAGTGTAGTGCAGATTCTAGAAACTGTTTTTATGTCGGTTTTAGTTTTGATAGTGAGTTAGTTAAAATCGCCTTAAAATCGGCTCATGAAAAACCAATTGCTGATCAGTCGATAAGCGATCCAGTCGCCAGTTGGAACAACCCCACTGACCTGTTTCTTCTCTGTTCCTCTTCATTTGTAACCCGCCCTGTCAAATCACAACAAAGACTCTGAACCGTCTCTGATTACACAGAGTAATAATCATCCATGTGAAATACAGTGTGCTGGATATATAATGTGTGTTAAACAACGCTTGATGCAAATAATTTGAATCCGTGGTTTTTAGTAATGAGTTACTTGAGGAGTTGTTTCAGCCCTGCTATTAAAACTGTAACAAGTAACTATTTTATTCTGAGCAATGTAATAGAAGACAATGTACAACGTTTGCCTCTTAAATGTAGTGAAGTAGAAGTATAAAGTACCATACAATGGATATACAAGTAGCTCAAAATGACTTTAGCTCCTTGAGTTATGCCAAGTTGAAGAGCGGTTTAAAATAAGGTAGAAAAGATGCTGGTTTGGCACACACTTCCAACCACATAAAGAGGGAGAAAGCAACAGCGAGACACCTGCTGTATTATCCAACTGTTTCATCTCGTCCCGGCCATAACTCACTGTACATCATTTCTTTGTTGTACAGAAGGATGATGACATTGAAGAAGGTGACCTCCCGGAGCACAAGAGGGCTCCTCCTCCTATCGATTTCTCAAAGGTGGACCCGTCCAAGCCTGAGGAGCTGCTTAAGATGTCCAAGAAGGGCAGGACTCTGATGGTTTTTGCAACAGTGTCAGGGGATCCCACTGAGAAGGAGACAGAGGAGATCACAGGCCTGTGGCAGGGCAGCCTTTTCAATGCCAACTTTGATCTTCAGAGGTAGCTGCTCATTTAACATTCACAAGAACTTTGTTGAGCTGCTTTTCAACTTGCTCTGAAATTAATGATTGTTGAAGTTTCTCTCTGTTGGACTAGCCAATTAATCAACTAATAATTTTAACACTGTCATCAACTATTAGAAATAAAATGTGCAGTAATGCATGAACGAAGCCTGATTTAAGCTTTAGGGCTTTCTTCCTGTTGGTGCTGAAGAAATATTTGGAGCATCAAACACAGAACAGTGACATCTGGTGGTTTATAAAAATTATAGCAGCTGTTCAAGACTGTAGCCAAAGCACTGACACAGTATCTAGAAAAATAAGTTTGTAATTATGCTTAACACAAATGTACCTTTGTTTAATGCTATGCATACCACAAGTAATCACAATACACATTGCCATATTGGTGAGAACAGTTGCAGTCACAGTAAAGGCATTTACACTGAAAATTAATATATAATAAATAATAAAGAAGACAAAGGACTATATTAAAAACTCTCTTGTTAAAACAAATTCTCTCTGGCACAACATGGTATCTAGCTCCTCATACTGTACACCAGGCTGCTGGGTGGGACAGGTTTAAAAAAAAAAAAAAAAAAAAAGACTAGGTTCAATTATTAAAAAACACTGGTACATATTATCGTCAGATCCAGTAAATACCCTTAGATTTGATAGAACCACCATTGTTAGTCTATCAAAGAGGACAGAATCTTGTAAAATCAAAGAAAAAAGGCTGTTAAAACTGTACAAATACAGAGGATGTGCTCAATGTAAGAATATGGTCAAAGGTAACTACCTCACTCATCTGCATACTCGGAGAAAGTATTGTGATCAAAAACAACAATTGTTTAAAACACTCTTGACGGACACACAGAGGTACCAAAAAGATAGCAAGAGCATTAACTGGATCTTCTTTTCTTAAGACTTTATTTACAATTATTATTATTTACAAACATGGGTATTTATTCTTTAATCTATCTATATTTGTCATAATATAGTATGGGTGAGTATATTTTCTACACCTCTTCAAATCTTTATCCTCCAAAAAGGTATTTTCAGAGTAGCAACTGATTCAGATCCTCGCACCTCATCAGCTCCTTTTATTTCAGGAAACTCAACTTCTTACCAACCATTTCGGGCCCTATCTTGCACCCGGTGCAAGTGTCATTGCTAGTTTCCAACCGGCGCAGTTGTCATTTTCACATTTTATTAGCACTTGAGGCCACCTGTGCGCTAGGGCTGTTCAATTAACCGAATTTTAATCACAATTTTGATTTTGGCTTGCAACTGTTCTTCTTATTTTCAAAGCAAGTCACAGATTCACTTTCTATTCAGCCAACTAACTTGTGTTCATCTTCCCAAACATTGCACTTCTGTCTTTCTGCAGGTTTGTGGTGGGCTCAAACAGGGTGATCTTCATGCTGCGGGACGGCAGCATGGCCTGGGAGGTCAAAGACTTCCTCGTTGCCCAGGAACGCTGTGCGGATGTCACTGTGGAGGGACAGGTGTTCCCCGGGAAGGCTGCTCAGAAGAACGGCGCCAAATACAAGCAGCAGAATGCAGTCAACGCAAAGAAGAGCAAGAAGAAGACAGAGAGCAAGACGCCCGACTTGGCGGGGAACAGCGCCAGCCATCGGAAACAGGAGCTGTGATGGAATAACACAGAGTAGGGGACGAGTCACAAGTTCCATCTCTTCTGGCCTTAGGAGTGCTCATTCTCACAACCATTATGTGATCAATGAACTCGTAAGCAGGACCACATGAAGATGCAGTGGTTCAGAGTCAGTGGTGTGACTGAACTAATAAACCCTGTTGGGTACATTTCCCTGACTGCAGAGCTGGTATCTTTTCTCCACCACTGCCTCATTGGAACAATGACAAGTACATTCTTGAAGTCATCATTCTTTGTCACAGAGTGGTAACAAGCTCTTTAAATCAGTTGTAATGTCAGTGCTGGCTGATTTCTTTACTTATTTTCTGTTTGATTGTCACCAAATGAAAATCAATAAATGCACATAGTTTTTGAAAGGTACTCAAGGAGAGGTTTGCATTAATGATATTAAACAGCTAAAACAAAATGACTTCACCATCATGGGATACAGCTTTTTCTCAGGACTGAATAAATGAATGAATGAATGAATGAATGGTCACTTCTGAGTATATGTTGTCCGTTTCACCAAATTTACAACATGCACGCTGGGATTTTGTCTATTGCAGTAGCACAAAGACAAATAAGTACAGATAAATAGGGAAAGCTAAGAATAAATGAGGTATATAAAACTAAAATAAGAATAAGAGGAAAATACACTGTGTGAACAATTATTAGGCAAGTATTCTGAATGACTTATTCCTTTGTCCATTTTCCAACTCTAAACCATGTAAACTTGAATGCTCACTGGAGCTAATCATTTTCAGGTGATATGTAGTTGTGTAATGAGGGAGGCTGTGGTGAAAGTGAATCACACCTTATATCAAGATGTGCACGATTAATAGGCAGCTGCATTATTTCAGGTAGAATGGTCCAAAAAAGATTTAACTGACACTGAAAAGTCAAAAATTGTAAAATGCCTTTGAGGCTGACGCAACACTCTTGAAATAGCTAAACCTTTGAGGCGGGGCCACCGGACAATCAAACGCTAATAGTCACAAAAAGCTCATGGAAAAGAAAAGACAAATTAACTGCAAAAGACTCGAGTAGAATTAAAAGTGAAGCTACCAGGAACCCATTATCCTCCAGTGCCACCATAATCCAGAACTGCAACCTACCTGGAGTGTCCAGAAGTACAAGGTGCCAAGTGCTCAGAGACACGGCCGAGGTCAGGAAGGCTGAAACACGACCACCACTGAACAAGATTCTCAAGTTGAAGCGTCAAGACTGGGCAAAGAAATACCTGAAGACAGATTTTTCAAAGGTTTTGTGGACAGATGAAATGAGAGTGACTCCATGTCACGCTGTCATGTTTCTACAGTAGCCCAAAACAGACAAACAGCACTACGGAGCGCGTTTCGTCACCACGTTCTTCTTCTTGTAGAATTCTGGCAGTGTAGACGCTCATCACTCTGTTGAATACATACATTCAAAGAAGACTTCAGAGCAATTATTTTATCCATTAGATGGTGGGTGAGAATAAAAGGCATAATATTTGTACTGGTTATGGTTAGCTCACTTGGTAAAGCACAGGATTCACATCTAGAAGGTTGTGTGTCCCACATCGGGAGAAAATTTGTTTGTGTCTCTTCAACAAATTGATCATAAAGCAACTGTTTTACATTCTCACACTTAAACATGTGCTGCCGTGTGCGTGTTCCGTTGTTTGATTAGCATCCATCAACCTACAGACACTTTCATTTCCCCAGTATCTCCAGGCAGAGGACATTTGGGGGAATCACGTTTTCTGAGGGCTTTTTCAAAGATGTGTCAAGCAGGCTACAGACTCTTTTTAATGTCATTCAGAATTAAGTAAAAAAGTAAAAGCTCTCAATTCAACTCGAAATATAGCATTGCTGCAAAAAGTTACTAGGCAAAACCAGTAGGCAGTTTTGGTGAGGGTCCATAATCACAGAGAGAATTAACGTGTTTCCCGAGTCAATGTTTGTACAAATTTCATCTATTATGTGGTTTATAATGGACTGTGGTGCAGAAACAGTGACAGTGTTTCACACACTTGGCTTACAATTTCCATGTTATCTGTCAGTGGCCAAGTCACAAAAACATGTGGTTTTACTGAATAATTAAGTAAATATAATTTCTTAATAAATCTACCTAAAGAAACCTCATTTATTGAATGGCTACTCTCTGCTGTCTCAGAAGTGAGCATTTATTTATTTCTGTATTTATTTTCAATTGTGTTCTACAAGCCACAGCCGCCCACCAAATTTATTTATTCATTATAAATAATGACCTAGCCCTTTTCCTCACCTGACTTGAATCCTATTGAGATCTTGTGGGCTCTTCTCAAACATGAGATTTACAGTCAGGGAAGACAATACAATAGTATTTTATAGTATTATCTTAATAATCTTGAACAGTGTTTGGGAGGCTGTGGTTGTTACTTCAGCGAAAGTTGATAGTAAACAGATCAAGAAGCTGACAGACTCTGGATGGAAGGCTCATTGCAGTTATGGAATATATTGGTTTCTAAATATGTTTGAAAGGCCAAAAAAATGCATCTAATTGTTGGAGACAATGTCTTTTTGTGTTGTTACACTTAATCTAAAAATTGAGAATAAGCAAGTCATTTGATGGAAATTACTTTGGTAATTTAGTTGCCTAATAATTCTGCACATTTATAAATTCTCCTGATAAAGACAAAACTCGCTTTTTCTTAGTTAAAAATTCAGTTTCAAGCATTGTTTGTTCAATGATAAAATTAATCCTGAGGAATACAATTTGCCTAATGATGCACATAGTGTAGTATATATATAAAATGTATGTTTGTTCTGGCAGGGACAAACAGATGTGCAGACATTCAAACTGTTGATCATCATTTATTTCTGTACAAAAGTCCTCAAAGAAAGTTATGGAGCTTCATTACTTACAAGCCACATATACAACATATTCATATGGTGTACATTTAAAACAAGCCAACTACACCAAGAATCTAATGCATGTGTGCAGTGAGTGTCTGGTACAAATCTTTTAAAATGGAGCTATAATGGTTTCTTACATACAGTATACATACAGGACAGTCATAACATTACAACTCAAAAGATGTCCCTCGTAGATTTGGATCAACTGTGTATGTACAATAAATAAGTATAAAATATATGTATATATATATCTTAGGAATCTGTGGATTTTTAAAAACACATTAAACATACAAAACACTAAATTACTACTGCAACCTCCGGAAAAAGTCCAGCTATTTCGGCGAAGGGAGGGGTAATTCTTTTTTATAATCGCCTGATTGAAACTAAGATTTCTCTGTCATTTTGAAATGGGGAAATTGCACATTGAAAAACTCCCTGATTTAAGTCGGTGTCTAATTTATTCTTTTAAATTGTTATGGGCTTCTTGCTGGTTCATTTCAAAAATACAGACAGATGGATCACAAACACTGATATGAATAAACACGGGGGTAAAACATCACAATATCAAGTGCTCAGAATGAAACAGAGCAAGTTAACAACCACAGGTCTGGATGCAAAACAAGGAATGTTCTTTTTTTTTTTCGTCTTCTCTTTTCTCTCTTTAACAGTTTACTCAAACAATGCAGCACACCAAAACCACTTAAGTGTCACATATCACGGAGACCTGCATGGGAAGGATGTTTGGTGAGGCACGTATACATGCATTTGATTAGTTGGCTCACACTTGTGTAGTATTTGCGCCCACTGATCAGAAAGAGGCTTTGCATTTGCATCATAAATCTCGAGCAACCCGTGGCTGACATCATGGAGGTTCATCAATGGACAATTGGCCAGTAGTTAGTAATATATAAATATCAAACACCAAGACATTGTTACTGTTTAATGATCAATATAAAAGTGAACAATCCAATATCTCAGGTTTCTTTCCTAATGTAGGGTTTTGTAATAAACTGGTGAACCTTGTCTCCTACAAACTGCAATCACACACACCCCTTTGTAACTCCCCCCTAACCCGTTTGTTTCAGTTTGTTTAGACTGGTGTGAAAGCATCAAATTAGCTGAAAAATGGTTCAGACTGCTTGAACAGCTTAAAAAGGTGAGTTTCAGTCAAACTATTTTGTCAAATTGATATTATTTGTAACTGGGCCCATGTCGTTATGGTTGTTTGGAGTCAACTGAATCGAAGTCTGAACAACCGTCATAGGCATCGTCACATGAGGCCTCAATGAAACGACCATAAGGACAGCACTAACAAACCAAGCAGGATCCATCTCCTTGGTAATGACCCCACAGAGGTTAAATAGGTGGGACTCACTGCCAGTCTGTCAGAACTGAAGAGGCCTCTTGGATGAGAGCCGAAATGTCTTCAAGTATCTTCCAGCAAGTCCAGCTGCCCTTGATTTTAACCTTCCTTGGATAACTATGATCTGAATGACTGGAAATCTTCACAGACATAGTTTGAAGTTGTTTTGTATCTCAGTAGCATTTGGCAGGTGACCCAGAACTCTCAGAGATACAAACAACTCAGAAGTTGTTTCTATCTCTGGCACTGAATATTTTGCAGATTTCATTCTAACTTAATATGGGTGCCACCACATTTCTGCTCATGCAAAATATTTGCATAATATTTGCATATTTGCTCAGTGTCTGATCCCCCTGCAGAAACGTTTGAACCAATTCTTTGGACGTTGCATTACGGTGGTTACAGACTTCCCTCTTGCAGGTAAAGTTGCCCAGTCTATTACAGGCTGGTATATAAGGATTTTAGAAAGGTTCAGGCATCTGATCTGTAGGTGCTTCAGGAACATCCAACAGGGAGGAGACCCCAGGAAAGACCCAGAGCATGCTGGAGGGTTTTTCGGGTCTGGGAAAGCTTTGGGATTACCAGATAGAGCTGAAGGATGTGGCTGAGGAAGGGGCATCTGTCCTACTTTACCTTATTCCAAAATGGTCATGCAATTCTCTACCTCTCGTTGAGCAACTAAACCATCAACTCTCCTGTGCTATCCTATATTTGAAATGGAAAACAACCGTGTTGCATTTGGGGCAGGGGACACATACAGCAGACTGAAAGCGAAGATGTGAGTGCTGGGGTAAACAAATAGCGAAGTCCGTTAGAGGATGGACTACGGCCAATGTTAATGTTAACATGAAACTAATGTCCATGTTAGCTGGTGCACAAAACAGATTTTTTCACAGCTCAACAGTGATCATTTGCTCACCAAATCCAATGGTAACTTTAGCTGGCAAGCTCACATTATGTAACCATAACAATGATGTCTGTGATGCAATGACAATGTTCAATCATGTCCAATAATGTCTGTGGAGCAGCCACATTTCTGCAAACACCATTGGCTGGTCTAAGCCACTGTTGCACCGAGGACCTCTAATATGACTGCCAGAGGGTGTGTTATCACTTTAAAGCCCTCTGCTGATGGTGGGGGTCTTACACAGATACAGTTCATCATGGGCAGTACTGGCTCCGGGAGAGGGTCTTCCCCTCAACACACCAAATCACATCCTTTCTCACCGCCGAGCCTAGAAAAAATACCACTCGATCTTGGACCAATGGCTTGGAGCACCTCTGCAGTGCAGGCAGTGTATATGTGTACATGTGTGTCTTTGCATGTTTTTTGGGTGGGTATTATGTGTGTCAGTATCTGGAGGCTACATAGTCTCTTGGCTGTCCTCCCCACTCTGCTTTCCACTCATAACTTCATCTTGAGGACCACAGGGACAGGCAGAACCTGATGGATCTTGGCCCGGTCAGAGTCCACCTCCAGATGGACCCAGTCAGGGCGGAAGGAACCCTTGAAGCCCACAAATGCCAGCTTGTCTGCAGGGAGGCCAAATTACATTGTAAATTAAATCATCTGAGCACCAGGGTGTTTTTTAGCCATGCCCTGCCTCACGTTCACTTCCTTCCAATGTGTATATACATCATTTCTGGAAATCTTTGTCTTCAAAAAGATTGTGGGCTGTTGCATTTTATGTTGTTTTCCATTCTTTTACTTTTGGTTGTTCCATTTTTGACAGATATGTAGTTGTAATTTCACAAAGACAGATGGCGTAGGTTGGCTGTTTTTACAATTGTTGACCTTTTAAAATTGTAAAAATGATGATGAAATAATAATACTTAGACACTGTTGTCAGCCTGTGACATGGGGTAAAATGCAACCAATGAAGCCACAGCGCCATCTAGTGCATTTTTGTTAAAAATGCTTGATGTTTTTCCAATACATTTCAAGGTATAGTATACTCATGCTCACATTTATCTCAGTACACCTTGGAACAGAAATACCTACCTTTCAATTTGATGCTTTTGTCTGCTCCAAGTCTCTCCAAGACTTTAGTCCAGGATCCTCTGGTAACCAGACGGCCCTTAGATGTAATGATGACGATGGAACTAGAGAAAGTGTGAGAGGTAGAACATCATTTTTAGCTGATAGTAGCTATATTTTTCCACCTACGTAATATTGCGAAAATCAGGAACATCCTGTCTAAAAATGATGCAGAAAAACTAGTCCATGCATTTGTTACTTCTAGGCTGGATTACTGCAATTCCTTATTATCAGGCTGCTCGAAAAAGTCCATTATGACTCTTCAGCTGATCCAGAATGCTGCAGCACGTGTTCTGACAGGAACCAGGAAAAGAGATCACATTTCTCCTGTTTTAGCTTCTTTGCATTGGCTTCCAGTAAAATCCAGAATAGAATTTAAAATCATTCTTCTTACCTACAAAGCTCTTAAAGGTCAGGCACCATCTTATCTTAAAGAGCTCATAGTACCTTACTACCCCACCAGAGCACTGCGCTCCCAGAATGCAGGGTTACTTGTGGTTCCTAGAGTCTCCAAAAGTAGACTAGGAGCCAGAGCGTTCAGCTATCAAGCTCCTCTCCTGTGGAACCAGGTTCCAGTTTGAGTTCAGGAGGCAGACACCATCTCCACATTTAAGAGTAGGCTTAAGACTTTCCTCTTTGATAAAGCTTATAGTTAGGGCTGGCTCAGGTAGTCCTGAACCATCCCTTAGTTATGCTGCTATAGGCCTAGACTGCCGGGGGATTTCCCATGATGCACTGAGCTCCTCTCTCCTCTACTTTCTCTCCCTCTGTATGCAACCTTATCCCATTATTGCATGTTACTAACACAACTTCTCCCCTTTCTGGTAGTCTTGTGCTTTCTCGTCCCTCTCCTCTCTCCTCCTATCACTTCCTGCAGGTTTTCTGGCTCTGGAGCTGTGGAGTCTGGATCTGTGGCTGCGGGTCACCTGCTGCCCCCGTGTTCCTGCTCGACACCCTCTGCTGCAACGACTATTGTTGCTAGTTTTATTGTTATTATTTTTATTATAATCATTAACATTACGACTGTTATCATTAACACTACTATAAATATCTGTACCATTTTTCATTTAGTCTATAGCAACATCACCTTTACTGTCTGTACCTCTGTGTGTATATTGTGTAGGCTGCCTCCCTCCCCTCTCTCTCTCCTTACATCTCTCTCTCTCTCTCTCTCTCCTTCACCCCAACCGGTCGAGGCAGATGGCCGCCCACCCTGAGCCATGGTTCTGCTCGAGGTTTCTGCCTCTTAAAAGGAAGTTTTTCCTTGCCTCTGTTGCCTAGTGCTGCTCTTGGTGGGAACTGTTGGGCTTCTGTAAATAACATCACAGAGTACGGTCTAGACCTGCTCTTTTATGAAAAGCGCTGTGAGATAACTGTTGTTGTGATTTGGCGCTATATAAATAAAATTGAATTGAATTGAATTGAATATGTGTCTTTTAAGCTTATGCATGTGTGTTATCACTGGACCCATAACATAACTTTGTAAAAATGCAATTAATTTTCTTGGAATGCAAGAAAAGACAATTCACCACAACATGGTGGCAAGTCACCAGTAAGAATCTTCACCAGAGTGGTAGCACAATGGTACATGGTTGAAGAATTTTTTAGTAGAGTTGGACAGCAAAGGAGCAGCTTCTTACCCGTCTCTCAGTCCATTGACGTAATTGTGTAATTGTGCAGGGATGCCCTGTAGGATGGAGTTCCTGAAGCCTTTGCTCTCTACCACCTTACCATCATGCCCGTCAACTACTGTCAACTGCACCCCATCTTCTGGTTGGTACAGCTTCCTGCCATTCACCTGTTACAACACAACCAGCCAATCACACTACCATTCTGAGATCTATAAAATAACAGAACCAAAAACACAATGATGTCACTTACTCAGTAGAACAAACATCAAATAACACAAGTCATATATAACACCTTAGAAAAAAGAAAAAAAGTCTATTTAGAGCGCTTTTAAAACAAACAGAAACAATTTGCTTTATTAAAATGGAGGATAGTTACTATGGATCTTGTATGTTTCTGGTTAAACATAAAAGATCTTAGTCTTTGACAAAGAGGTCTATCTCTGTAGGAATCCTTTCCATAATGTTGTCAGACACAATAAGAGCCTTTCAGTGGCAAAAATAAGCACTTTAGTGGAAGAATTATATTGCAGCCCTGATTCACGGCTACAGACAGCAGCTCCCTCACTCAGTTATGGACCAATTAAAAAAAATGTTGTCCCAATTAGTACCATAGACAAAAAACATGGGAAAATAGGGTCTAGATTGAAAAATAAGTTTCCCTCTGAGCAGGTGTACAATACACTTGTGTCTGAATGACACATCTACAGGAATAATTTCTGTTTGGTAACTCATAACCCAGTGGTCTAAGTCCAAGGTCAAACAAAGTGACTTACTCTACACCTACTATTCTACTGTCAATATGATACACACCTCTGTGAAAGCAAAGTCCTCTTTGATGTGGAAGAAGCGAGTGTTGTAGGACTCCAGTTTGACCTCCAGGAAATGTTCTGGTGAGTGCTGAGAGTACCAAGCAAAGGGACAGCGTTGGAATGAAGACACAATATTTGGCATTTCACAGAAGCAATTTGAAGTCAGTTTTTACTTGCCGCAATCACAAAGCTAAACAAATTAGATGAAATGATCACAGCTGCAAATGTCACTTTCATATAAGAAAGAAATTACATTTCTAATGATTGCTGTGGGCAATTCAGTAGCAGGAAAAAGTCACAGGATGAAGCCAAGAAAAGCAGAATGTAAATAAGGATACAGTAAATGGGCATTCATTACAATGGAATGTATTTCTTAGAAATTGGGAACATTGTTTGAAACATGAGTGAAAGTAAATGTAAATTCTCCGTATTTGTATAGCGCCTTTCTAGTCTTTTCAACCACTCAAAGCGCTGTTACACTACATCTGCATTCACTCACATTCATACACTGAGCCTAAAGGCTTGTGCAGACTACACGACTTTCAGCGCTGGACGATGGCCGTGCTGTTCACACTACCGTCTTGTGACAGGAGTCTTGAAGTCGTTGTGGCGTTCACAATATCTGACTAATCGGTGACAGGGGGTCACACACTACACGAGCTGACAACGACTCTGTCACCCGACGCTGATTGGTTCTTGTATTTCTTAATGAGATTGTTCTGATAATCTGTGTACTGTTGTTTGTTTTGTAATGTTATTTTTCATGTTAATTCTGACATGTCATAGAAAGAAAATAGCAGGCATAACTAATTACATTTGGTACATAATGCTTGAATGGGGAACTTACTCTAAATGGAACAGAGCTAGTGTTAATGTTTTTAATTACACCTGTGGCGTATCTGCTATGGCGGTCAAAATGTCTGCACTCTATCACTGTGTCCGTCCGAAATTCCCCCACACCCACACCCATTTTAGAGTGGATTGTAAGAAGACTATATTTCTGACTTGCTAAGATCATTTGAGCCTGTGTAGCTTGAGCTTCTCTTGTAGGTCTCTATGAATAATTCCTAAATTGGGGCAGATTAAAGGATTGCCTTTAGTATTATTTGAGTAAAGTATCTTTGATTTTGCCATCTGACACAGTATACAGTCCTTTCATTCCCCGAGTAGTGAATCCTGAAAGATGGATGATTTTGGACACAACCTATCTATATTTGGTAAGGGTTAAAATAGTAGTGCAGTAATATAGTGGTTGATTGTTCAGTCACTCAGTAATTTAACATGTGCCTCAAACACTCCCTACTTCTAGGCACCGAATCACTTGGGCACTGATTCAATTCAATTCAATTCAATTTTATTTATATAGCGCCAAATCACAACAACAGTTATCTCACAGCGCTTTTGCGATTATGTTAAAGATTCTATAAAGACTGGTCTATCAATGACACAACGTCAAGACTGAGGTCTACGATGACTGACGGTGATGTACTTTGAATCTTTAGTACACTAGACTTACAGCTGACGTGACAACAATTCTTCAGTTCAAAGTCGGGCATCACTGTTCTCATTAGGAGTGATATTTACTGATTAATAGTAAGATTTAATAGTGATAAAATTCTACTAAGATATCAATAAAGATGTCTCTTAAATTAAATGATCATGGCCCAGAACTACATTAGGCTTCTTCTCCATGTGGCATGAAACGTTTGGAAACCTGTTTTAGAGTATTTAAATGTCAGTTAACATGGCACCAGATTGCCATTATGGGGTGTCAACAGGGGGGTGTTAAACCACTACTGGAATGCACTCACAGTGTGCTGGAACAAAAAGACATGCTGCAACTGCAGATGATGGCAGTTCACACACTATTGAACTTTAAAGGGGTTTGAGACAAACTATTTGTGACAGTCTTCCCTTCTAGTTTGCTAATGATAGCCCCCCCCTTCTCACCAGTCTGGCATTAGGTATCTTTCTAGGCATGGGTACGTCCACAACAGGCAGCTCAGCGTGTCTGGGGTAGGCCTGGGCCATGCAGTTGCTGGGTGGACTGCCTTTAGGGATGACAGCCGTGATCTTCACCCTCTCACAACCCTTGACAGAGCAGAAGGCATACTGTTCCTTGTCGTTATTGGCCATTACCTTCAGGAAGAGTAGGCTGCAATGCACATAGTAAAGCTTTAGACATATCTTCATCTGATGCTTAGCAATCACAGAAACAATTAACACTGACATGCAGATGTATCTTTATAAATATATGAAATTACAGTACTAAGGATGTGTAGGACCTCATTTTAAGATGCTTTTGATGATTTAATTTGCTTTTTATTTCCTCTTTAGTTTGAGACAGTGAGAGATACTGATGTCGCTGCGTAATGTGGATGTTATCATTATTAGTGTGGCATCCTGTGCCTTGAGCCTCCATGAAGATGTCCTGACGACATCATGCCGTAATGTACGTTAAGTAGATATCTATGACGGACATGACATAAAGCAGCAGTATGCACACTCATTCATCTGAAACACATCCAATCTAAACACTTAATATTTGGTCACAGAATTACAGAATACAATGTATTGTAATTATCAGATCTTTTGTCATACTTATGAGGTAGTCAGTCAAGATAATGAGATACAATAGTCATAATTATGAGATAGGCTCTGTGTAGTCTCAAATTGTTTTTCCTTTGGTGAATGCAATGTGCTTCAGTGTATTTCTGTTTCTTCTTCTTACTGTTTTTTTTGCTCCCTCATTTGTCCCTTTTCATCTCTTTTGCTCTGTACATTTAATTTAAAATGTATTCTTAAAATCCCTTTTTCCAGATATTTAACTTATTTCCATTTTTCTAGAATAGATTGTGGTTAGAGCCTTCACACAGGATGACAATAATAAAGTTTAGAACAACTTGTCAACTGGTCTTATTTTTCAAGCTGTGGCCGTCATTCCTTTCAGTAAAGTAACATTGCAATTGACTGACTAATTACAGTGAAAATTGCAGATCGTCTGACTGCTGACATAAGAATGAGTATAAATCATGATAAAAACTACAAAAATATGACAATGTGGTAGTAAACTGGAATAATACTTTAATTTGAATATTTAAAGCTGCATTAATTGATATACTGGTCTCTTCGGGGCAGCAGAACAAGTTGACAACATAATGTATGATAATCAATAGGCAGAAAATGTAAAGGTTTCAATACTCAAATAATTGCACTACTCAAAAGACACTGTCACACTGAATGTTGTTTTCTGATAACAGTGTTGTAAGATGTGTATCTGACCCAGTGTCTTCCTCCCAGTAGTAGTATCTTTTAGCCAGGTGGGATTGTTTGATCTTCTCCCTCTGTGCTGTCCTCATGAAGACGCCGGTCTTGCGGGTCTGTTTGGTCAGGCGGTTGTGGATGTCGGAGATGACCGTGAAAGTGGTGCCTTGTGGGTAGCAGAGGCCAACGGTGATCAAGTCATTTCTGAAATATGACAGAAATGTAATAATAATAATAATAATAATACATTTAATTTGTAATGCACCTTATATTTAAGCAAATCCCAAAGTGCTACAAGCTAAAATAGGAAGTGCTAAAAAATAAAAACAAAGAGCATGAAAATAAAACCAAAAACAATAAGGCAAAGGAAAGGGGCAAAAGTTCAATCAAAAGCTCTCCTAAAAAGATGGGTTTTCAGGCCTCGTTTAAAAGCATCCACAGCAGCTGAGCAGAATGCTCGATCTCCCATTGTATGGAGCTTTGTCCTAGGAGGTTTCAGGAGATACGCTGAGGCAAATTGGATATAGATACAGCACTGATTTCATCTCACAGCAAACCTGTTGTCATGATTATTTCTACTTTTAACTAACACATCACTTGTGAACAGATTTGAACAAATGAGTTGATTAGTCGGAAGATAGAAAAGTAACTGGCATCATAATTGTATTGTTTAAGTCATTCCTAAAAGAAATTAGGACACTATTCCTTTTACTCAGATTTTTGCTTCTGCAGACATTTGAAGACCCCCGTGTGAATCTATGATGGGCATGTTCACTATTTTCTGACATTTTTAAGAGTAAGAGAATAACCAATTAATAGCAAAAATAACAGATGGTAAAAATTATGTGGGGTCAATATGGCAGGAAGAAATCTGGTGTAGAAATTGGCAAAATCGACATTAACTGGAGCTCACAGTTGCACAGTGGCAGTTAGGTGTTTATGCAATTTAATCTGAGATGTGTGTGCTTGTGCTTGAAATTTGTTTCTTAAACTAAAATGTTGTACATATATACATGTTCATAAATTTGAATCAAGTAATGCAAAGAATGGCCATTTCGAATGTCTAAATGCAACTACTATATACTGCAATTAGCAGAAAAGAACACAAGTGAGTTGGATGTCAGCTACTGAACAATTCCTCTTTGTTAGTGTTTATTTTAAAATACACCTGACTTGTATTTATCTTCATATCTAAATGATGCATTAGCAATCAAATACGACTTGCAGTCTTTTCGAAAGTATGTACTCTGTAAACTTTACAGTTTAATGTTTGCTGCAACAAACTCCCAGTTTAATAATTGTTGCTCTCACTTCATAAAGCCACGTACACTCTTTATCAATCAATCCATGGATTTCCCAATTTCTCTTCCCAAAGTCAACCATTAATTAACAAGACAGCACATATTGAACATAATCTATTTGGCCCAACAGCTTTTTACAGAGTCTGCTACAAGAACCTTAATCAAAGCTTTAAAATCAGCAGGAAGTAGGTGCATTTTAATATATCGTACTGAAGGCAGGAAATCATGGCTCATTAAACCATGGTCAGTTAGCTTACTTTCAAAAGACAGACAGCAGTTGTTTTCTTAAATAAAGTCCAAAATAAACAAGTCATAGTTCAACTCTTTCTGCAGAGAATCAGCCTCACTTGCTGTATTCCTCTGTGAACTGTAGATGGGGCCATTGGTGTAGACACCATCCTTTAGTAACTTTGGCTCCATACGGTCCATGTCAGGGTGGACTCAGGCCATAGGGAGTAGTGGACTAGCATGAAATGACACCCGGCCTTTATCCAGTTCAGTAGCTGAAGGCCAAACTGGAAACACCATCGGAAGGGAGGAGCCCAAAGTTAGGCTCTCAGTTAGGCCGACAGCGTCCAGTTATTCATGCTTCAGTTATTGGAGTGACCTCAGGAGCAGCCCTGCCGTTACAGAAAGCCTTCAAGGAGGGACCAGATTCAAAACAAAAGCTAGCTTCCTATGCCATCATCTACAACATCTTGTGTTTAACTGTACAAGCATTCCTTCTTTCTATAACTGGATAGAAATTCAGCTACGTTAAGGGTTAAGATATCAGTATGCACCAAATAAGTGGCTGTCAGCATCTTAAAACACCCTTTTCATTGTCAAAATTCTGGAATCAACAGCCGTGCACACTTTACGTATGATTGACCAGGCGTGTGGAGGCGTGAGTGTAAGCAGGGTTTAAACTTCTTTCTCAAGCTGTCTTTTTTCTATTCTTTACTACTTCCAGCGTATTGTGTGTGTAAGACAGAGTGCATTACCACGAATGCTTTCAAGGAGATCCTGTATGAATGCACAATTCATCCTGTTTCGTGCCTATCTCTGACTACAAGCCAGCTGTTAAGTGTTGGTCATCCAGAACAGCTGTGCATTTAGATGTGGTCGGACAACACTTTGTACAAACTCTAATAACTCATAAAAAGTGAGAGAAGTGGATGTCTGAAGAATGAAAATACATAGCTTGTTGGGATTGAAAGTTAGACCATCTGAAAAGCACTTTGCTTGAAGCGCATCAAGTTCATTAACACTCTGGTGAATCCTAAAGAGCCCATCCCAAGGACAGGAAGACTGGGGTGGTGTATGACATGATCATGACCCTGGACAAAAGACTGAGTGAACACTGGAAACATACAACATAAGCTGTCTGTGAACACCAGACCAAAACCACTCAGAGAACCCTGAGGTCAAAAATATACAGACCAGGAGTCAGTAGAGGAGTGGAGAAACAGCGAGGAGGACATTCAAATCTGACACAAGAGACAGCTCCATTCACTGAGACACAGTCTTCCTCCTCTGCCTCCTGTGAGCACTTACATCAGTGCTACTCCAGTAACAGTGTGATGGGGGAGAAGAAGGTAAAAATTCACTTCATGGATGGCTGACTGCAACAGATGAAGCCCTTGGGCTGCTTGGTGTGGTCAAAGAACCAGGCTTGTACACTGTTCAAATGCAGGTCTGGATGCTTTTCACTGGATTAAAAAGGTCAATTTGTTTCTCTAGGACGATTTCAAAGTCTGTATAGACATATCTTTTATACATCTTGCTGAGTTGAAATGGAGAAAATCTTTTGAAAGTTTTACAATGCAGTTACAATAAGGTTATAAACAGCCAAAACACCGCTCCCAACCCCTGACTTCACTGCCACATTTACTTATATTTATTACTGTTAAACAGACAAAAAGTCCCTGTAATGTGAAATTAGTAAGGAGTCTTGAAAAATAATATTTTTATATGGATATTTTGCTCAAAACATTGTATGTTAGTATCTCTTGCCCACAAGGTATTATCTTCTACTTAGTGGGCACTGCATTTCAGCATGGAGCTCTTCAATTTACCCTGTCTAGTATTCTGAGCATATATTGACTGATGATATGAGCACCGGGCCAGACATCTTTATATTTTGTACTTGATGTACTTGTTCTTGATGGCCATATTATAAGTGCCCATAAACCCTTAGGAGAGAATCCCTTTGGGGCAAGTAATTATAATCTCAGTCATAAACACACCATTATGGAAAGGGACAGAGACCTGTTTCAAGTGGTCATTTGTTCTTCTCAGATATACATTAATATAAGCAGGCACACCAGAGCTGCTGCTAGGGGAAATTAACTTTTCCTTCTGCTATGATGCAGTCACCTCCATCATTCTGAATTTATCACAAGCCATATGGGATTTCTAATATTGGTTGCCTTGTGTGCTCCATTTGCCTTATTGCCCTTTCAGAAAGGAAGCGATTTGCGCTGCGCTGGCTGTGGGGTTCAGAGCAAAACTGATGGGTTCAGCGCAAAAGTTCAACTATTTTGAACTTGGAACACGGCGTGCGCGTAAGGTCGCCGAGCAGTGCGCTGTGCTGCGCTTACGCTTTGCTCGACACAGCAACAAACCGCAGTGACGCAAGCTATTGAAAATAACGGGTTTCACAGCGCAGCAGTGCGGTCGTCGTAGTCTGTCTGAAAGACCCATTATGCATGTCTATGTTCCGTGTGTTTTTTATTTGTTTAAAGGCCTTTGTGCTTTTTAGTGTTACATGGTTGCAAAGTCACAACTGTTATAATGGCTTGAATGTATCTGTTCTATTATTTTCCCAGAGATTGAAAATGATGGTTTGTCTAAATCTGGCACATCTACAGTAAATCCTGTTGATGTTAATGTGCGCTGTCCATGATAAATAAAACAGCTGATTCTTACCTGGTCAAACAATCCAAAGCAGACAGTACCTGCTGTAAACATGATTTGTGTGAGGGTGGTGTTTGTCATAAGTGTGTGCTGTCCTCAGAGTGGCTCATGTGTCCACTGACTTGTTAAAATTGATGAGCCAGATGGTGACCTCAGCAGGCGCTGCCTGGTCCCAGTGGATGGTGTAGCCTTTGGCCAGTGTGATCACCGGCTGGAACTGTTGGTAGTGTTTCCTCTTCCCCAGGGCGCCCTCTAGTGTCAGGGGGTGATCAGGGTACTCATCTCTCACTATGTGCATGTTCAGGTTTGCAGGATTACGTGTCTGGACGTAGATCTAAAGACAACACGACCATAGAATTACAAGGCTGATTCTAATATTTAGTTATATATATTTCTTCTCATTTCATCTGACTTGGCTCCTGGACTCACACACCTAATGTAGGTGTAAGAACTGGATGAGTATTCTTTTTTTGTTTTTTTACAGGCACCCATCTTAGAATCCAGTGCTATGGCTAAATTGACTAAGTTGGCTCATTAAACTACAAACATGTAAAAAGAATAAATAACCCAAGCTTCTATCTTATAAATGAAAAGTTGAATTCATAAGCAATATAAACACACCCATACCAGTTCAGTACACTCAGTGGTTTCTCTGCCACAGTCTTAGTTAACCACAGCTTATGGTGACAAATGTAGGGTTTCAGATATATTGTTGACATTACTGAGACAATTTGGCGACATCATGACTCTTCTCTACTTGTGCTATCGTTATGTTACCGTTTAACACATTAACCTTGCATTGAGTCCCCTTACTTATTAAAACCAAGGTAACACACTTGAGGTGAGTACTCCTCAAATCTGAAAATGGAAACACCAATAGTATTCATTAACAATGCATGTGAACAAAATTCAATCATATCTGCTTATTTATTTAACCCTCCAGAATCTCCTTAGAGACCAATTTTCAATGCCCCCTTCCCTCTTTGTCCTCTGGACTCATATTTCAGCAATACAGTTTCACTAGATATTCACTTGACATGTTAGGATTGGTCTCCCGATTTTGACTATGGTATCTGGTTGGCAAGTATGCTGATCAACCATACATATCAATAACAGTGATTATTGACTTGGTTTGTCATCTATACAGGCTTTAAAATGTGAACTTGGCTGCTGAACTAAACAAAGTTCCTGGGGGTTGAGGAGTGATGGCCCTGCAGTGGGTAATGTCACAGAAGGCCTTCTCAGAAAACGGACCAACTTCAGATACTGAATCTCACTCCAAACTAAACTAGAAGAAGTTGGCTGCCCTGAGCTATGCATGATTTGTTTATTATTTCACTCAGAACATGTACTTATATATGAATGTATGATTTCAAAGCACTTTGATTGGGATGTGAAATGACATGTAATCAACCAGTGCCAAAGAGGGTGTAATAGAAAGCAGATTTGTGCTTGTCAAGGCTGATTTGTGAGAAGAAATGTTTAGAGAGTTTGATGACTGCTTGCACACCTGTGCGTAGCGGCCGCTGCAGATAGCAGCCCTCCAGTCGGGCACGTCGATGCAGTCAGGATGGCGGAGCAGCCAGTTGTCCTCTTTAACCAGGAAGGCTCCGGGATACTCACTGATCGAGCCGTCAATATCGTGGAAGATGGTTGTTTTGTCCCCGTCCATTTGCATCTTATTAAACCAGGGACCAGGCTCCCCAAAAAACACGCGAGACGTAATCTACAGTAGAGGGATGGAGTGATATGCATACATTTTAAGATCCTCGTATTGAGTTTTCAGTATTCAAATGTCTCCAGCATACTCTCGTTGAGGAAAATGTTTATTAATCCTAGATTTACTCGATCTGATTGCTATCTTATAGTTTACTGTAACTGGTGGTGAGGACAGCTCAGAATGATTCAACTACATTTCATCTATTTAGAGTTTTGTACCAATTCAATGGGCACTTTTGTATGCATGAGAAATTTTACACATTTTACACTTCTCAATGAATTAAATTTAAAATGAATGTCCACATATGTGTAAGTGTGATTCAGTGCAGATTTGTTTTTCCATTTTAAATTATTTGTCTTATCTTATCTTTTCAAAGAAATGTTGCCTTCCCATGAATGAAAATGCACCAAACATGGCTCATCCAAAAAGGACCTGGCTAAATAGTGGAATCAATCTCCTAATGATGACACTATAGCAACAGTGTGAATTTTAAAATGTAGATATTGGGAAAACCTTTTAGGTTCTATGTTATCCACTCAAGCCAATATTTTGCTATGTTAGCTAGCAATCCAGAGTAAAGTGTTCAGTAGAAATCAGTCCACAGGCTTAAAGACAACCGAGAAAGTCGGGAAATGTCTAATCTTTTAAATTACGTTACAATCCATTCATACATTGGCAAACCAAAGTAATTAATACATGTAAGCTGCTCTACCTTTAAGGTTTGGATTTTCAGATTTAACCTGATGACAATAAATTCAGAACAAAGGTTGAAAATTTAAATCACATTTTTCCCTTCATGTAAAGCTGCTCTCTGGACTTTCCTTATAATCAACCACATGTTTACATTCAGTTTCTCACCAAAACACATTGTGTATTTCCAGAGAATCCAATGTCAACAAATGACCTCATGGTTAGTGACCAATGTCAGTGTATTTACTTCAAAGCATCTGTATAACAATTTTTTTTTAAAGTATCTTAAACCCTACTTTTAATCCATGCACGTTACTTTAATCTTTCCACCACCAATTACTGATCAACAGAATGGTGGGAAATCATGTGTCATCATCAATGTCTCACATTTGTATCATGCATGTGCTCATGCATTTGCTACATAGTACCTCCCATGGTCAAAAAGGGTACCTTTACAGAGACATTATATTACCTGTCTTTATATTAAAGTTGCCATTTTGAAACTTGCTTACCTAATGTTAGTACAGATTTTCCCATTTTCATTAATCTCAAAGAAACATCTGTGTTCTAACAATGTCTCGTGATGTTGTTTATTTTCCACAGAAGTTGACTCACAGGTACGTGGTCAAAGGTGATGTCAGTGACGTTATTGTTTGGACAGCTCTGCCAGGAGTTGTTGAGCCTGAAGCCAAAGGCACTAGTGTGCCGTCCATCCAGCGCAGTGTATTTCCGAAAAGTGCAGTTCTGCATGTTGATGGGCCCATCGTAGATCTGCATGCCCCGAATCGGAAAATCACTGCAGGGACACAAACACAGAAACCCATTAGCAATGTACACTCAGTTTTAGTAGCTTAGCAAAAAGTAACTTTGATATAGTGCAGTGAAAAGTAAGTGGATGGAGGTTGGGGTAGTTGATGTACATATATAGAAGTGTCCATCCACTACCACATGCTTCAACACTAAAGGCTAGGTGTCAAGTCCCATCTCATAGCATTATTATTTACCTGAACAATGTTTGTAGTTGGCTAGCATTAATCTGATCATCCATACCTGTTATCTGACCAAGTTATCTGTACCTGAGTAATGATGGGTTTACTTTTTATTTCTCTGACTTATTTATCCACCCAACTACTGTATAAAATTTTTGTACATAACATTTACTTTTTGTGAGTAGCATAAAGGGAACTAGGGAACTGCAACTTCATCTCATTATACAACCCTGTGTTGTAAAATGACAAATTAATCTACCTTGTATTATTTGACATGTGTTTATTGTGGTTGTTGGGCAGATGAGGAGAGGAAAAAATGCAGTGTATGGGAGAGCAGTAGAGCACAGAATAGTAGGAGAACATGTGTTTGGAAGTTTAATAAGCAGCGTTATTGGGTTGGTCATCAACAAAATTGTCAGATCTCTGCAATCTTTGTAATTTGAACTAACTATAGTAAGATTTTTCTATGTAGAAAGAGGGTTTGTACAGCTGACTCCCTGCCATGGATGGGGATGAAAATCTTTTATATTCAGAGGAATCATCAGATGTTCAGCACTGCACAGCGTGAGTGCGCTTGAACTCGGGCACACCATTGCACATCTAGTTGCATCAAAGAAGGCTGAAGAAGAATCATCGAGATAGCAGTACTTTATGTGGACTTCTCTTTTTCCCCGCAAGACAAATTAATCTGATATATTGCTTCCGGATTTCTAGCATACCAAATCTGGCTCTTACACATGCCAGCCTCTATTAAACTGCTGCTCCTCCACCCAAAATCTATCTTTGGGGTATTAAACACTTTGGTTTGAAAAGTGGCTGTCAAATGTTCTCAGTTTGCTTCTTCATGAAGAACATCGGCTGTGGTCAGTTTGAATACATGCCAGTAATAAAGGGCAACAAGTTTTAATGGCAGAGAAATGTCCTTCAGTACTTCATCAATCCATGGTCCACACACATAATTTACACACTGCGGCTGAAGGCTCTGAACTCCAAAGTGGTCAAACGGCGCGGTGAGGTGAATAGAAGAAGAAGACCTAACAGTACGTGTGGATGTGTTTATGAATGAGGTCAGTGACGTACAGAGGAGCGAGGTTATGAATGGCCTTGAAGGCCAGGAGCAGGATCTTGAAATCAATGTGGTATTTAGCTAGGAGCCAATGAGGCTGCTGAAGGACAGGAGTGATATGCTTAATAGAGTGGGTTTTGGTGATGATACAGGCAGCAGAGCTATGAACAAGTTTAAGTTTCTGTATGAATTTGAGGGGAAGACCGAAAAGGAGAGAATTACAATAATCAATGCGGGATTTGACCAGGGTGTGAACGAGAATGGCTGTACTAGTGGGTGAGAGACGGTCGGAAGCGATTAATGTTACGTAAATGGAAGTATGCAGACCAAGTGACATTATTAATGCAAGCTTGAAATTAAACTGATGAATGAAACTGAGTTGTCAGTGGTAACAGAAAAACTGTCAAGTTTTGTCAATGTTGATTTGGTGTCAATGAGGAGAACCTTAGTTTTGTCACTGTTAAGTTTGAGGAAGTTGCAGGAGAACCAGCACATTTCCGGCAATCAGAGAGGGAGTTGGGTGGGAGGGTGGAGGTAGGTTTGGTGGACAGGTAGAGCTGGGTGTCATCCGCATAGCAGTGGAAATGGGTGTTAAATTAACGGAAGATATGGCCAAGAGGAGGTAGATGATGAACAGAAGGGGCCCCAGGACAGAGCCCTGGGGAACACCGGTAGTGACAGGAAATAGCTGTGATTTGAAAGTTCTGAGTTGGATGAACTGAGTGTGGCCAGATAGAGATATGATTTAAACAAGGGTGTATCGGTTATACCAATAAAGACTAATCTCTCAAGGAGGATGAGAATAGTTAATAGTCCGGAGTCAGCAGCCATGAGAAGATCATTAGTGATTTTTAACAATGCTGTTTGTGTGCTATGGCGAGGACGATAACCAGATTGGAATTGTTCATAGAGGTCAGACATGTGTGCATGAACCCGAGATGCAATGAGGATTTTAGAAAGAAAAGATAGGTTAGAGATGGGACTGAAGTTGTTGGAGTCTGTTGTTGTTGGCATGTAGATGTGTTCGGGGCGTGACTGTTATCAAGCACGTATAGTTTGGTGCAGTTGTGAGCATGTACACTGAAGTTACAACAACTTCTTCTTTCATGGCGAATCATCGATTATGGATGCCACGCACACTGTTTCACGAAAACTCACCGTTTGTACAACTTTTAATAATCAGTGGGATTAGACTAGACAGCAAAAATCTGAAGTTCGGCAGACTAATTCTCTAGGAGTAGTTTGTTAAAGTATGGAGTGTGTAAATCATCCAAAAATTACCATAAAATTCAAAATGGCTGACTTCCTGTTGGTTTCAGGGCATCACTTCAAGAGGCTATTTGGTACATCCGGACATACATGTGTCACAGAAATTTCATATATATAGGTGACACATGCTGTTTCGTTGAATGTCACTTCCTTTTACCAGCAGGTGGCGCTATGACTATGAGTGAACATTGGCATATCGTCATATATGTTCAGGGCGGGACTCTTATTATACATGTAAAATTCGGTGCAGATGTGAGCATGTATACTGAAGTTAAACTCCTGTTGAGTTTAGGCAATGGCTCCAAGAGGCTTTTTTTGTACTTCTGGACATGATACACACACACCACAGAAATGTTGTACAAGTAGGTGAAACTTTGCCCAGGGGCTCCTCTGTAGGGAGTGTTAGCAAACCATTCTGCCACGCCCATGCACGAGACCCATAAAAAACACGGTTCGTGCTTGGGCCCTAAAAAGAAATTATTTTGCTCTGAGTAGATGCATGATGGATTAAAATCTACTCTGACAAGATGTCTATGAAGGTTCTCAGTCATCCAGGTCATATTTATCCAACGAAGGTTAAAATCAAGGCCAACTGGACTTGGTTGAAGATTCTGGAAGACGTTTCGTCCCTCATCCAAAAGACTTCTTCAGTTCTGACTGACTGGCAGGGAAACTCAGCTATTTAACCTCAGTGGGGTCGTTGGCCCGGGTCATCGATACCGCTGGTTCGTTAGTGTTCCTGGTTGCTGTGACGACAGTCGTTACAGTCGTTAAGACTACCTGTGGCCAAGACTGAACGACCATCGTTGGTATCTCTGTTGGTACTCTGACAAGTACAATTTACTCTAAAATGTTACTTGAGGACATGTTACAGAGTAAATGTAACTTGTTACTACCAACCTTTGATAGTCACCGTGTCTTAACAACATTTCACTGACTAAACTGAAATAAATGTGTTTACATGTGCACAGGTTTGTAGGTTTCCAGTCTTAATCAAGTTCTGATTGTATTTTGGAAGTGTTATTTACAGAGAATTAAATATTATGTAGCTCCCCTTGTGATGCCCATGAGTCTGTTACTATCCAGGTTTGTCTTTGACTCCTCCACATCCAGAAAAATAAATTCTCAACTGAATGAAGTGACCTGAACCAACAGTTTAGTGTATCCTCTGCATTATCATCGTCGATCAACATCATCTATCATCATATTTTTGGCTCAAGTTACATACAGTTACATCGAGGCTCATGATAAACAATGAAATATGGATGAGATGTTTAAACGCTGAAGTATCCAAGTTTCAGTCAGACTATTCCAGCTAGCATATCAAGGTTCCCATAAACCAGGACGAGGGCTTTTCCAAGTCTCTGAAACCAGGATTTGACGATTACATGGGCAAACACATCCCAGGATACTCACTAGTTCACTAGTCTGCGTATAAACACACTCAATGTTAAATGTAATCTAGATGTCATGCACTTTTTTTCATGCTGCATGAATTTTTTTTAAGCTGAAAATACAACATCTGACAAATGAGCCCCTTATGAAGTGTCTATGCCCACATACCATTCCATTGGGCCTTTTTATAGCCCCCTGATGCAGATGTAAACACAGTTGATGAGAGTGGAGTTTGTGGGCTGTAAAAACCAACAAGCTAAAATAGGCTATAACTGTCACTTACATGCCACGTGGCAAGGTTCTGCCAATGAGGTCAGAACCTCCGGGGCCCCAGATGCGGTTGTCAGGGAGGGCCATCCCGCGATTGTCACTTTCACCCACAAACAGTGAGTTTTTCACCTGCTGACGGGAGCCATCATCATCTGGAAAAGTTCCTCCACTGCACACACAGATGGGGAGAGTTAGATTCTGTAAGTGCCAGCAGCAGTAGCAGTAAGTATAGTGATAGTAGCATTGAAAATTGTAGAAGCAGCATCGATACTGTCAAATTGTTTCATTGATCCCACTGTGAGAATTTCCTTTATTACCCAAACATCCAGTGATTAAAAACTGACTATTCCTTGTTGAATACATCTGAGGCCAAGTAAATATAAGTCCAGCCAAAGTATTGTGTGTTGATCATACGTCATTTCTGTGCTAAATCTCATACATATCAGTAAAGACTGCCTCTTCCTCAGTTTTAACGGCAAGCAGACCAACAGCTTGAAATAGAGAGGTGAAGAGCACATACTGAGCTATCAAGCTAGAAAAGCCACTGTAGTAATTACTGTGCTCTGTCAGTGTTTATGGGGACCAAAAATAGAAATATATATGTAATGTACAGACATACATAATAAAAAGGCCAATTTGATACAAAACACTAACTGTTCAATTAGTGTGTTTATTTTATGAGTGTGTGTGTAGTTTAGTTTTGTGTTCTTATTTTCTAATATCAGTTAATACGGGACATCAATGGTCAGGGTAAAAGTATAGACTAAATGATCCAATGAATGCCCAGATAATTTGATTAATTTCTAAAAGTTCAAATCTTTTGATATTTTGAAGTGTCAATCTAATGTAATTTTTTTTCAAGATGTCACAGATGCCTTGGTTCATTTCAGACTGAAGAGGTCAATTCATTGTAGCCAAGTCCAGTACCTGCAGACCTGAGGTCCGTTTGTCAGTAATAATACAGACAGGTGAGGTACCGGTCAACTGTTCATGACCTGAGGCTAAGTTACAGAAAAGACTACTGCAGTACACTGTAAAGAGTTATTATTGTAGCTAGGCAAAATGTTCCCCAATATGATGTACATGTATTAAAGTGGACTACTAAAATCTAAAAAAAAATAGACTATAAATGACATTGTTTTTTGTTCCATGTGCTAATTCTTAATGTTTTCCTCAGCAGTTAGTTATAGAGGTGCTGAATTGAAAAATCAGAAAGCTGGAACCACTCTGAATAATAAATCTACAGTTTAGCTAGTTTGTGTTGTGATTAGTGAGTACACCCTTCAAATTTTTGTAAATATTTGATTATATCTTTTCATGTGACAACACTGAAGAAATGACACTTTGCTACAATGTAAAGCAGCTTGTATAACAGTGTAAATTTGCTGCCCCCTCAAAATAACACATCACACAGCCATTAATGTCTAAACCGCTGGCAACAAAAGTGAGTACACCCCTAAGTGAAAATGTCCACATGGGGCCCAATTAGCCATTTTCCCTCCACAATGTCACATTAGTTTTACAAGGTGTCAGGTGTGAGGGGGAAGCAGGTGTGTTAAATTTGGTGTTATCTCTCTAAGCATCTGAAAAATTTATCTGAATTGTTGCTCTACATAAAGATGGCCTAGGCTATAAGAAGATTGCCAAGACCCTGAAACTGAGCTGCAGCACGGTGGCCAAGACCATACAGCGGTCCAACAGGACAGGTTCCACTCAGAACAGGCCTCGCCATGGTCGACCAAAGAAGTAGAGTGCACGTGCTCAGTGTCATATCCAGAGATTGTCTTTGGGAAATAGACGTATGAGTGCTGCCAGCATTGCTGCAGAGGTTGAAGGGGTGGGGGGGTCAGCCTGTCAGTGCTCAGACCATACGCCGCACACTGGATCAAACTGGTCTGCATGGCTGTCGTCCCAGAAGGAAGCCTCTTCTAAAGAACAGTTTGCTGAAGACAAGCAGACTAAGGACGGATTACTGGAACCATGTCCTGTGGTCTGATGAGACCAAGATAAACTTATTTGGTTCAGATGGTGTCAAGCGTGTGTGACAGCAACCAGGTGAGTCAAGCATGCTGGTGGGAGTGTCCTGGTCTGGGACTCCATGAGTGCTGCCGGCACTGCGGAGCTACAGTTCACTGAGGGAACCATGAATGCCAACATGTACTGTGACATACTGAAGCAGAGCATGATCCCCTTCCCTTCAGAGACTGGGCCGCAGGGCAGTATTCCAACATGATAACGACCCCAAACACACCTCCAAGACGACCACTGCCTTGCTAAAGAAGCTGAGGGTAAAGGTGATGGACTGGCCAAGCATGTCTCCAGACCTGAACCCTATTGAGCATCTGTGGGGCGTCCTCAAACAGAAGGTGGAGGAGCACAAGGTCTCTAACATCCACCAGCTCCATGATATCATCATGGAGGAGAGGAAGAGGACTCCAGTGGCAACCTGTGAAGCTCTGGTGAACTCCAGGCCAAAGAGGGTTAAGGCAGTGCTGGAAAGTAACGGTGGCCACACAAAATATTGACACTTTGGACCCAATTTGGACATTTTCACTTAGGGGTGTTCTCACTTTTGTTGATGTTGTTGTTGTTGTTGTTATCTTGAAGCGACAGCAAATTTACACTGTTATACAAACTGTACACTCATTACTTTACAAGTGTCATTTCTTCAGTGTTGTCACATGAAAATATATAATCAAATATTTACAAAAATGTGAGGGGTGTACTCACTTTTGTGAGATACTGTACATTACATCTGCTGCACTGCCTTTCTATGTAATAATGGATATCTGTATTACTATGACTTGACTCAAATCTCACATTTGACACCCATATCCGCCACCTTTGTAAGGTCTCCTTCCTCCACCTCAAAAACATCGCCAAACACCGCCCCTCCCTCTCCCAACCGGATGCTGAAAAGTTGATCCATGCCTTTATCTCCTCCAGGTTGGACTACTGTAATGCCCTCCTCATCGGGATCCCTGGCAGGAGCCTGCAAAAGCTCCAGCATATTCAGAACTGCGCTCCCCGGGTCCTGACGAGGAGGCGCAAATACGATCATATCACTCCGGTCCTGAAATCCCTCCACTGGCTGACCATTCAACACAGAATCCAGTACAAAATCTGTCTCCTGACCTATCAGTGCATACATGGAACTGCTCCTGCCTACCTCAGTGAACTCCTCACCCCACACACCGCCTCACGAAACCTCCGCTCCTCCACCTCTACCTACTGCCTGCACCAACCAAGGACTAAATTCTCCACTATGGGAGACAGGGCCTTCTTATAAATCAAATGTATTATTATTATTATTATTATTATTATTCACAAACTTTGGGTATTCTACTACTATTCAGCATCCCCTGCTGCTATTCATATTATGCTCAGCAATGCAGAATTAAACAAAGAACCCTGAAAATTATTCAGCCAGTCTTCCCTCATTCATTTGCATCTAACCTTCATTACCTGAAGTTACCTACCTTCCTACTTGTGCATTCACTGTGTACTGCACTTTTAAACAGCCAAAGCGTGAAACATATTTCAGCTAATCGTGTGGTTCCACTGACGTAAGTGTCAGTTTTACTTCTACTACGAGGTTAGAAGTTAGGTTCTTCTACGATTTTACAGCTGATTCTATTCATGTAGTTCTTATATCCCGGTGACCAGTAAAAGTGCAGTTCTGGTTCTCTCCCCATTCACTCAGATAGGAGCCTGGTCTTGTTAGTCTGAAATAGCTGCCCGGAAGCGTTGCCAAGATGGCTGCTGATTGGCATGACTTGCCTATAAGGACTTTGGTGACGCGGAAGGGTTTGCATTGTGTGTTTAATTGTTACCAACTGCCTCTTTAAAATGAAAGTTCACAGAGAACGTTAAAGGCGATATAGGTCATATTAACTTTACTGGCACTCAGCCCCGGTTCCTCACTGGCCTCAAAGTTCTTTTTTTCCTCTGGAGACGGTTTTGTTTAATCTCCATTTCGGGGGAGAAAAATGCTGTTTTAAACGGAGGGCTGAAACTGAGAGGAAAATATGCGTTTACAAATTTCCGTGGCTTAGTGTGGATGTAGTGTGTGCACCCGTAGGCACTATGCTTTGTAAAGTCGGTTGAAAACTCACTAATTCCCACCTCTGACCATTGCACCTCTAAATTACTTTTCACACTGCATCAGAACGTTCCGTTTCCCAGTGCATCCTAAGTAGACTCCTTATAAGGCGTTTTCCAATTACTCACACAGACAGACAGAGAGCGAGATGGTCCTGCATCACCACCAGTAAATGCAAACGGCAGCCCTTTATTTCTATCCATAGAAACACAAACAGTGATTTAATAGCAAGGGGGTCTTACCTCGCCAGCGTGAGGCCAATGCCATTATCAGCGAATCTAAACAAGAAAGAGAATATTATTGCTGTGAGCACAGCAACAGTCTGAGGTCTCTAGGGAACACACGCAGTCTGAAGGAGATAAAAAGTTATTAGATAGGGATGAATTTCTCACTTTCATCTCTGACATCAAATGTTCAGAAAAATGACTGACTGTGCTACTGGAAAGTTCATAATGAGGATCAACTACATTCAGTAACATAGAAAGTTGGCAAACTTCACTCAGACAAACACATATCCACTCACTTATTTACCTGGTCAAAATAATGCTCACGTTTGGATCCATGCATGCATGCAGTACTCACTGGCAGTCATCCAGCCAGACATCCCCTCCTCTCAGCCAGGCCCCGTGGTCCTGGTTTTTATAAGCTACAAAGTGGTGGATTAGCGCAGGGACTCTGGGTTTGAAGGGGTCAGCATCCTGGTGGGGGCCATACCTTAAGAATACAACAGCATCCCCCAGCACCAGAGACATACAGAGAGTTGACAGTGTTAGCACTGGAAGATATTTGGTTTTAAAAACTGTGTTTACTTAATACAGTACATTCAGGGCTGCAAAGTAACAAATTAAAACCACAGTTTACAGAGTAGCCAAGCAAACTGGTCTGGTCCTGACCTGGAGTCTGAGACTCGTCTCAGTCTTAGCCACTAATCTCATTACAATCTTTGTTGGCCAGTCCTATTTTCTTGTTTTCTATCCTGCCTTATGTTTGTGGATGCTTCTGTAACAGACCAGAGAGCACTGCTTGCTGCTACTTATTTACCTGAGAGGGGCTACAGGCACTGATGGCTTCTGCCTACAAACTAGCAATTTTCTTGTTTAGTTTGGTGCACAAAGCTTTGAGTTCAGCTATAAAAGACAGTTACATTTACTCAACAAATGAATCTAACACACTCTATCAGCTCAGGTTGGCTACTTCCTTCCTCTGTCTCTTTTCTCACTGAGCAGAAGGATCCTCTAGAAAACAAAACAAATATTGGACTTAAACATAATAAAAATATAGACTGAACTTGGATATTAATATTATGCTTTTCTGCTTAATGCTTAAATGCCTCCTGCTTCTGTGCTAGTTACAGCAATGCAAATATGCAATGGCGTACATTTAAAGTGGCAACAGCCTTTAGTTTAGTCTACCGTACCCTCTTGCTATTGACTACTCCTTTTTTTGTCTCAGTGATGCCATCTGCTGGACTGGATTGCTGGAGCTGGCAAAAGGTACTACAGTAATGTGTCCTATGAAGCTACCATACTGCCCTACAAAGGTGTAGAACTGAGAAAAATAACTTTAAAGTTGATTTGTTGTCCAGTCAATTGAACTGTAGGTAGAATATTGGAAATGTGGCAATTCATTGTTTTATCTACATAAAAATTTTTTTTAACTCAAACATGCCCTTTGACCCTTATTTGGAAGTTAATGTACTCATAAGGGGTCATTTGCCAAGGCAAAAGGCATTAGCTTCCCTTTGATCATCTGCTTGGTAGCTGATCCCTAAATAAAATCAGTTTAATGATAACATCTACAGTACATAAAATCTACTAATCCTGGCGCAATTAGGCTTAATAGAATATAAACTTAAATATAATATAATGTAAATGCAAATAAATTCAGGTCACAAAGGTGCATTACCACCTCACACATCATTAGGACCTATTTTATAATTCCATTGTTGTATTAAAACTTGATTGATTGATTGATATTGACTTGAAAAAAAAAACAATTAACACCCCAATTAAATTTATATTATTTAATGCCAAATGAGTCAACAAGAACAAATGCAAAATGCAGACTTCCTGCTCAAATGCTCTGGAGGCAAGGGCATCACTTTGTGTTGAAATGTGGTGGGGCTCAGATTAGGGGTGTGAAGAGACACTTAGTTTGCAAAATATATCACGATACACGATATTAGGTTCACCAGAACGTGACAAAAAGATTCTTAAACATTGTTTTAAAGGTATCCTCAATGCCAAGAAATAAGAGCGGGGGGGCCTGGGTGGACGTCCCCCAGGAAATTTTGATCATTAAACACTTCATTTCCTGCATTCTGGTGAAAGTTTCTGCACCAGTTTTTAATGGAAATGTTTTCATTTATTTAAAAGGAAACACAACATATATAAATATCATAGAATATACTACAGTGCAGCTCTCAGGCATCTTTTTCTCCTGGAGACCAACTTTTGTCATGTAATATCATCTATGCTAAGGCAACACATATGTAGGCCTGATTTAGTCTTCCCTCCTTTTTTGTCATGTTCACAGGGAGAGAACAGAAAACTTGGCCACAAAGAAACTGTGTCAAGAAGTTGTTAAAGTTACTGATTGGTGGATAATCATAATCAGTAGCTTGTTTTTTTTCAGCTTTAGTTACTTTTTTTGGCAATGCACATTTGTCTCCTCTATAGTTTAATTGCATTGCATGTTTTCTTGATGTGCAAACAAACATTTCTAAAGGCATTTTCATTTGTTATTTAACTTGCAAGCTATATTTCAGAACATGTTTTAACAAATTATGCTTTAAAAAAGTCATGGTGACAAAATCCGCCTTTTCAAAAAGTGGTGGGGGCATGTGTGGATGAATTCCAGAGTAGGATCCTCAAGAACAACTCATGTTATGGATTTAACCTGTTGAACGCCAGCAAGTACCTACTGCTCAAAACTCATGTTGTGGATTTAACTTCTCAGAGGACGTTGTTTGCAAGTTTTTTTTTTCTGAGGTTACAAACATCTATTTAGTTGTGAATCGCTGAGCTTGTGTGTGGGTGATTAGGCTACTTAGGTGTGTTGTATGTCTGTTTGTGCTCCAAGCTCACGCTGTTTGTTTCGGCTGCTGTCAGTGTCACTGACAAGGCTGCAGGACACGAAAAAAGCATTCATTGCCCAGCTTTATGATTAGCAGGCAAGCCATCTAGTTATTGTTTGTTTCCAATGCTTTGTATGCATTCTGATCGCATATGGGAGCAGTTTGTTTGCTAACAGTTACTGGTAGCTTGCGCTAGCTAGATAACAAGTAATTTTAGTAGAAAGCAGCCCATCAATGTATATAAATCTAGTAGCATAATCCTTTTTACCTTGATCTTGGTGTCTGCGTTTCAAAGTCATCTCCACCAACATTTTCCCTCGAGAGCAATTGGCCATTCTTAAAAACTAGAATGGTCAACTGCTCTCGTTAGTAAAAACAATCACTTTGCTTTAACACTACACATCATTCAAGCTGTGTGTGTGTGTGTGTGTGTGTGTGTGTGTCAGAAATGCTTTGATGACATGTATTTATTATACATGGGCATAAAACTGTAACTCCAGCATGACAAACTGTAAGTTAGTACATGATGTGCATCAAAACATGGCTTCTCTGGGGCTTTTGGAAGTTACAGCAAAACAAATTCTCCAAAAAACAACTAAATTGACTTTGTCCCTATTATAAAGTAGATATTTAATGTTCCAAAAATAACAATAATTCATTTTCAACATACGGCCTTTTACCTTTGCACGGTAGCACAGCTAGATGTAAAAAGGAAGAAGATGAATAACACTGGAGCCAATAATGTGTGTCCTTCGTATCGATAACTCACATATGTGATGTAATCATGTGGCTACTGAAAAAGGATTAAAGATTATAACTTTGATTTGCTATTAAGTATTTTGTTCATATACATTTCAGGAGGACAGACTAACAGAAAGGCCTCATGTTCTGCTGTTCCTATCCAGTCAGGTCCACTTTCCAATGACAAGTTGCTCCTGTCTTTTTAAATTTTTTTTAGGCGAGATCTATGATTCAGCTTCGCAAGAAAGACAAGATGTCCTTTGAAGAGCAACGCTGAGCTGAGGTTTGCTGGGTTTATTCGTGTTGAACTTGTGAGGTCAGTCAGGATGACACATTGGTACTTTCACACTGACCACATGGGACGAACTGTTACACAGACTGGTATCCTATTTTTGGACATCTCCTTGAATTGATTTCATTGCAAGTAATTTCATTCCTACTCAAGTAAGATTTAAAGTGACCCTCCTTGCTGTGGGCCTGTATTATACCAAATACCAACATTTGTCGGTTACAAAACATCAACAGGAAACATGACTATTGCAGGCTGCAAATCCATCACTCTGAATTATACTAGGCGTGATGTGACTTGAGCTCGTCATCCAGGGTGTGTGTTTGTTACAGAGCGAGGAGAATTACAGGGCTGAGTCTGACCTGGCTCCAACTAAAGACAGGAAGGGTCTCTTGTCCTTGTCGTTTGCCTGGGTGGTCTTTACTCCATTATCAAGGATCATTCCAGCCTGGAACGGAAGATAAAATGTATAAGACACTGAACACAAATGATACAGAAATGTTAGAAAGTAGTTGTCCTTATGAAAGACACTCACTGGTTCATTTACCAAGGACACAAGTCAGACTGTTTGTTTGTACATACTTTCTATTGGGCTGCAACAAAATCTTGTCTCTATTTTAAATGTGAAACTAATATGAAAACACTCAATGCACTCTAGTTATTAGAATTTGTATTCAGTACCTTTACCTCTTAGTTGAAAACATTATTTTAGTCTCATTTCCTCCCTTCATGTAGAAAGAGTGTCCAACTTTAGTTATAAAACATGTTTATTGGCTTCCTCAACCAATAAATCCAGTAGCAGAGACGTTCTCTTTTGCTGTCCTTTCCAAACACATGTTGAACTACCCAGCATCAGGTCTTAATTAGCAGCAGTGCATTTAGATTAAAACAGCTGCAGCTGCTCTCATTTCTGTCATCATGTCAATAACCTGCTAAATCCCAAGGCCCTGACAGTGTGTGTGGTAGATTTAATAAAGCTGCCCATTAACCTCGACCTGCTCACTTCTCTGATGGAGTTTATCGTTCCCAAAGGAGATTTCTTTTCCCACACTATGTGCATTATGTGTGCCTCCAGAACAAAGATACATTTACACACAACAACAAATACATTTGTACAGAAAACAGTGTGTTCTTATTCTTGATTATGTTGTAAGGGAGCTGTAACTTCAAATAACCAGGCTTATGTGTAATTGTTTAAAGTAGCGTTACAATATTTTGAGGGCAACAGACTATAAACAAACTGACTGTAACAAAGTCCTGGTATATCATAGATTTATCAAGCTCTTATGGCTATGATGTTCTATTATGAGCAACACTCTGCATGTAATGCCTTTAGAGTTGAATTTAAGTCCAATATATTCACTTGTCTGTTAGCTTTGGTTTGGTGTCTACCACCTCCTGAGAAAAACTGTCTGGCTCTTTAGCCGCTACATGTGTGACTTGCTTCACCTGCCTCTCTTTTTACATCAGCTCACTGCTGTTTCATGGTGAACAGGTAGCTTACACTTGGCTTACATGTTTTATATGTCATGTAGGTTTTATTCAGTGGAGTGGGTTGGTCAGAGTCATTGGGAGGTAACCATATAGTCACTGTGCAAGCTGAAGAACAAGCACTAGCAACCCTTTGATATCACATGAGAAAGCATTTAAAAACATTGCTGATAGAGCTTTATGGATCGAGTGACACACCCCATTTAGAGGTAACCCAGATAGATCACTGACCTTAAATCAAGAACAAATGAACTAAGTCAGTTTGGTCTCAAATCTCACTTAGTGGAGCTTTAAATCCTATAACCGAGAACTTATAGCATCAAAGCTAACCCCAGTTGTTTCAGATACTATTGATGGTGCATTACTAGTGCATTAACAGTCATAATAATAAAAGCCATCCTCAGCCAGTTTGTTGCTTCAAAACAAAAGACACCTCTGTGTTGCTGCTCTGAATGGCCAACCTGCCGCCCTGAACCCTGGGGGGGCAGCCTGACGTGAGTTATGCTCCCATTAGGATGATCCAAATTAAAAGTGAACAAGGGAAGGATAAAGTGAGATGGGAGAGAAAAGAGATCACTGTTGGGGGCAGAAAAAGGAGGGAGATAACAATAACACTTCCTCCACTAGCACTTCATAAATCTCTCTCTGCTCGAGCTCAATGCTTCAGGCGCCTCCAAACTCTTCCCTGTCCTCTCCATCTCATCCTTACACTCACTTTTCTGTTGTCGGGCCTTGATTTTGTTACTTTAACTATTCACCTATGGCTCTTCTTGTCTTTGTTACTTAGCAAGTCACATCTGACCCTGTAATCTTTCTTTTCTTTCCCCTTAGCTCTTATTGATGTCGTGTCTATAATGTTCAAATAAATGCTGATGAATTACAGATATCTCTAGAGCCTGAGCACCCCCAATACCAGAGGGCAGTGAGCGCCTTGTGCATACAAACACAAAATAAGGGTGGGGAATATGTTGCATACCTAGAATGAAGCTCGGCTAAAAGCCCATGCTTACCACTTTTATCTAAAGGAAACACAAACACCAAGCAACTGACCGGGCGTGCAGCTCTGTCTGAACACAGTGCCAGGCCCGCAGTCACAGCTATCCTGATATCTCTCATTTCACTCCACACAAATAACCCCAGATATTTTTAAAATAAATACTGAGACTCCACAGATTCCAGCAGTATAACTCATATCACTGTACGGCCAAAACACAGGGAATAAACAGTTGGTGAATAACAACAACAAACGTATCTTTATACATTAACAACTACAAATTGTGTCTTACATTTGCTGTTTAGTCATATAAAACCACTAGTATTCACTACTTCAACTAATTTTAGCTTGCTTTTCTTCATTTGCATTACATGGGGAAGGAACTACCGTTGTGGCACTACAACGTTCCATTCAAACACACGTGCTGTGTCTCAATTCGCACCCTTCCACACTTACACTTGCTATTTCGAGTGCATAAATGCGTACACATGGTTCACACTGACAAGAATGGCAAAATGCAGTGCACTATGAATACCTGGATAGTGTACTTATAATGGTCCAAAAGTTGAACACTTCTCACCCTCAACCCTCAGCCTATTTTCAAACTTGTGAAAATGGCGACTAAGGGGGGGAAGCTGCAGCAGTTGTGTATTTTAAAGTAAAAGTAGATTCATAGTAGATTCAAAAGTAGATTTCATAAAATTGAATTGAAGACAAGTGAGCAAACAAGCAGGCAACACGTGATGGCCAAATGATCCGCCTGGTTACGACCAGAAAATCACCTTTGGTCTCACCAGACATATAGAGAGCCTAAAACCTGCATATACTTGCTTTTAACTACGTGTTGGTGTACGCAAGATGGCTGCCACGGGTATCCTGCATTCCCTTGGAGCGTAGGTTGTGCATGTCTCCAGAAATTAACACTACGTGTCTGCAAGATGAAATTCAGCACATGGGGCAGTATGTCTTTCTGACCGGCAGGTCAGCAGCAATCTCCTGTTTCACACACCAGCTCAGGTGGTGGCGATATGCAGTTGGTTTCCAACCGCCATTAAAGCAAAAGAAGAAGAAGGTCAGCAGCAGACTTAAAAAAGGAGATTTATGGCCGGATTTTTACAATAAAACTCCTGGAGCTAGTCCACAATTACCAAGATCGTTATGATGTCTCATTAAAATCATAACCTGCTCAAGTGTTGCTATGTTTTGTTGTGATGATCCAGCCCTGATTTGGGCCGGACGTCATAACTGTTTCTCTCAGTGACAGAAGCTAACGTCAAATAGCTTGTGTGGATGATGTGATGAACGGGTCAGGAGTCGTTGGATTAAACGCATCAAGTTACATACATACATACATACAGGTTAGATACCTAGCTAGTAGCAAGCAAGCAATGAGTGTTAGCTTAGCATTACAGCGCTAATATGTTGGTGACATTTATTGTGTGAGACAAGAGATGTAGTTCATTGAGCGGTTTCACAAAAAACTAAATGTTACTTCACTGTTTTATGACAAATTGCCAATTTTTTGGCTTGCAAAATTATCTTATTAAATTGACAAACATCATATTTGTATTTTACACAGGATAAAACAAATTGGTGTCTCTTGCTGTTGACTACTGTACATATGGTTATCCGAAATAAGGTCCCACAGAGCAGAAGCAGAAGAGAGGGACTTGTTATAAAAAAAGGTCAAAAGTTGTGATTGTCATATACATTAAGTCAGTGTTTGATTGGAGACAAAATTACCCTGTCAAAATTCATGCACTAAGCAAGTAGGTACATAGTCTATGTGCATGGGATGTATCCAAATTGAATTATACCATTCTGTTCTACTGACTGAGTTTTGAGACCTTACACATGACTGTGGGACCTTTTACTCCCCTTTTCTCTGCCTTTATTGCGTCTCCATTTCCTCTGGAATAGTATCAGAAGTATGTTTACTTATAATATTATTCATATTGATATTCCTTAGCTCAAAGGAGATCAGAAATATGCACATAGGCCTAATGGTTGAGGAGTTATACCCGATTCATTATGGGTTTGTTATTTTAGGCGTTTTTTTCCTGGGGATAGGGCTAGGGTTTTTTATTTAAAACTGGATGTAATGAGTAACAAAAATATCAATATGCTGTATTAGTGGCTGGTTTTCAGCCCCAGTAACACCTTGGAAAAACAACACCAACAAACATTTTTAGGTCACTGTGACATAATGACTTGGAAACATCTGGGTCACTTCAGCAACCCTCAGGCAATAATTATTCTTATTAATGTGGGACATTTGTGAACCAATGTGTAAATACAGTTTCAGAGGCTTTTGAATGAGAAATGAAGAAAGTTGAACATTAGGAGGATTTTTTTATAATTGTACCATAACAATTCTCTAATTTAAAGGGGCCTTAAGCAATTTAGTATTGAACTTCCATGCAATTGAGAAAAGTCAAAATCAAAGCAGTAGAGGCAGCGATATCCTGACTTATAGTCTCTGGTATTCCAGTTCATGCCATCCTACATAAGTCAGTGACGCACTTGGGACCCCACCAGTCAAAAAAAGTGACAGACTCCTCTATCACTGACTAGAATAACAGGGAGTAGGCAGGTAGTATGCTAAGGTTAGTCTAGTGGGTGAACACATTAGACATGTCAAATGTCTACACCAAGAAATTTCAGTTCATCTGATTATCTTTTTTTTTATCTTATCTCCAAATAACAGTCACTAAAACATTGTTATGTACTAATTTGTTCTTACACCGTAGCACTTTCTGATCTGTCAAAAGAGACCTGAGCACAGGGAAAGGCAGTATGTGACTGCCCAGGCACCCAGTTCCAAGCAATTTGACCTATTTTTCAGCCTAATTACAAGTTTTGTACGCGGACAATATGATACGTGCATTCACAGAGTGTCCTAAACATTTATCAACAAACCTGCTGTTTATGGTATTTGTGTGTAAGTGTATTTTATGTAAATGCTTTTGCTGAGTGCAACAATGTTGCTGTACATGGTTCATTGTTATTAATATGGAATTGCAGTGTGAACATCTTATAATTGTACATCTGGCTGGCACTAAATGTTTGAGCTTATCCCAGTCTCTTCCCCACGCCCAGCACCTGTCCATCCTCAGACTCACCCTATAGTTGGAATGGGCTCGGTTGTTGGTGAATTGGCCCATAGGTGTGTGCTCAGTGTATCCCGGGGAGTACAGCCCCTCTGAGGGGCCAGTAGGCACATGGTGGAAGATGAACCAGAAACCTGTTTCCTGAGAGATCACACACACTAAAACAGTGAAAATTCATGTAGAGATCATTTTTGTTCATGCATAAACAGGCGCACACTCCCACTTACATAAATAAAGCCTCCACTTTGCCACTCTGCATGTCAGCCAGTCTGTTTTTGTGTTGTTCTTCGCAGTATGCAAATGAGAATAGTTATTACATTGGTGAGGATAAACGAGACTCCATTCAGCCTGAAGTATCCTTATGAAATCCCAGAAGTATGATCATAATTGGCACTATCATGGTGAAAGTGCAGCAGTGCCTCTGTCTGTTGTGTGCTTGATTCTGAAGTTAATAGGAGTACACAGCCATTAATCTGACCTGGCAACACGGTAATGAGACAGACCTCCACCTGCAAGAGATGGGGGGATGCAGCACAGGGGGAGAGAGGTGGATGAGGGAAGAGAAAGTGAAGAGCCAGAGTAAGACACTCACCTCTGAGCCTGCAGCAGCACAGTTGATGAGGTTGTTATTGGGGTTGGCGATCCAGAAAGTTGAAGTTGCGCTATAAAGAGGAGGCGTGTTGGAAAGGAAAGAGAAAAAAAGAGCTATTGGATTTCACACAAACAGTCTGAACCAGTGATGTGGTGGTAAATAAAGAAAGTGTGAACACTGCCACTCAAAAGAGAAAATTACTTATTATTATTATTTTTGTACCAACAACAGCACTGCTACACAAATGGACTATGCATTATTTTATAGCATTATGGGGAAGTTTTTTTCAAAACTAAATGGTTTTCATGGCAATTTCTATTTATGGAGGCCTCTTGTTTTTCTTACTACTGGTACGTCAAAACTCTTACTATATAAATATTTGTATAAATTCAGTCCTGTAAGGTACATTTATGTCATTTTTAAAATCTAAATGTCTTGAAGAGGTCTTCCCTTCAGCAGCCAATGTTGTTAAGAGTTCAGCACAGAAATGTCTTCTGGCCTCATGAATAGTAGTTTGATAAAATCAATCTTCACTCAAAGGTCCACTTAGCTCTCTCCAGGGCTGTCAACGACACAGCGTTCGTCAGGGAATGGAGCTGTTGGCTCAGTTGTCATGGATCTGTATAATCATGTCAAAATTATTTAGACAAATTTCCTTGAGTTGTATTGCTGATTTTTTTGTGATTCTTATATTGAAAAACACACACTTGCAGCTCATTATAACTGATGTGCTTAACAGATACTTTGTAGCTGGACTTATTTTAATGACAGTACAACACTTTGTATTAATTATCTAACTCTGTATTTCCAGTGGTAACAGTCATGTATATTAGAAGAAGAAACCATAGCATTCTCTCTGTCTCCCTCTTTCTCTCTCGTTTCCTTGCTTCAGGTGGAAAAGCCCTGGTAGCAGCTTTTAGAGACTGCAATGATCATTACACTCCACAGTACACAAGTGTTGGACTTGGATAGGATGTACCGTAAAACTTTGAATAACAGCCCGGGTTTTTTTTTGCTAAAATCACTGAATTGACCCTGCCTTTATTTGGGACACGCGTCCATATGGGACAGGCCTTTAATTATTTTTGCACAACACTGAAACTACTACTATATCAAACAGAATAATGCTTTTGTAAAAATGATCAAATAATATCAAATACACGTCATTCATTTGATCTAGCTCGACAGACGGCTTATGCGCTTTTATTTTGAAGGCAGCCACCTCACGACAACAACAACATGGTGCAGGATGAGAGAAGTTAGCAGACAGAGAGCGACGGACTTCACGTGACAGGATTCACAACTTGGATACATTTTTCTGAAAAGCTGTTTTGATTCTTTTGATCAGTGAACCCTTACAGACTAAAGGAATATAAATAATCAAGGAACAACACATTCAGACTTAACGAGCGGACTTAACAAGCGCTTCAAAGTTAACGCGAGTCAGCACTTTTCCCCCTTTTCCTCTCTTGTAGCCATGCAGGTTACACCGGTAAATCTAGAAGAATTAGACTTTGGGTCTTGTGGTCTCCGTTAACTTAACTTAACAGTGGTATTGTGGAGAATCTAACCGATCTAACGATGTGTAGCATGTTCATATTGACATATTGATCATACCTTTAAACATTAATAGCCTATTTTGTATTAAGGATCTAAGCAGCTTAGAAGCAGCTAAAGTGGGCGACCCCGCGGGGTTTAAGAGGTTTTATACACCCAAAGAACTTCTATAAAAACCAGACCAGGCGTTTAATGGGGACCTGCGTTTATTTGCCAAAATGTGTTCCCACACCAGGCCAGTAAATGGGGTAATGTTAGGCGGCTATTTGGGATTTGGCTATTAATTGACGTTTTACTGTATTATGAAAAGTGGACACCGTGCTCTGAGTTGCCACCTATTCATTCCCATTAAAGTTGCCTTCTGAATCTAAAAATTCACTGTATTTTTTCATTTCTTGTGTACAAGTGGACATTTTGGAGAGATTGTGGATCGCTAGAGGAAAGGTACAAAAATGTCACCTAAAAATATTGGAATTTATCCTCTGACAAGATGTCTTGCTCTAGAGTAAAGTGATGGGGATATTTGCTAAATCTTAATTAAAAACCTAAATTTACTGACGGTGGGGGGGGATTTTTGCGTCATCACATTTTTTCATTTTAGTGTCAAATTTACTGAGACAACAGACTTTGAACCCAGTCACACTTGATTTGATTTGCATAAAGTGCCACCAAATAAGATTTGATGCCAGGTTGTTGTGACACATGTTGCACTTGTTTGAAAAGTAATGTAGCACTAAAGAAAGTATTTTCTGCCACGGAATCAGGAAGACACTTCTGGAAGGGCAAGCCTTTATTTATCCCATATGATGAAGGCTATACATGAGAAAATAATAAACAGTCTGATGTTCAGCTCAACAAAAAACAACCTGATTAGATTACCGGATAAAAAAATAACGTTAAAGCTTAATAAATAGCCTACAACTGGCTGCTTCAATCATCTCGCACTGGACTGGACCGACTGTTTTCTCTTCTGCTATTATAACTTATGAACAGATGAAGAAAAAAAGGTTTGTCAGGGTAATTTTTTAAGTTATCTTTTTGGTTCATCTGTGAAAACAGGAAAATTTTTGTTGTTGTAATACACATTTTGGCCACATGAAGATGAAATGCACCACTAACCCATGTTCTAAATGGCGCTGATTAAAATACATTTCTAGTCAATAGATTTTCATGACTGTAATTTTACATAGCTTGCAAACACAGATAAAAAAAACTAACTTAGAAAAATCATCCTGGCAAAACTATTTTTCACCTGTTCTTAAGTCAGAGGTGATACGCATAGGCTCTGTGCAGATGGATCGTAAAATATCATGTATGAAATTAATCTGCAGATGCTCTGCTTCAAGGTGAGACCAAACATTTCTGTGTATGCCGGTTTCTGAACCACTACGAAGGCCAAAATGTGGACTGCAACAAACTACAAAAGCCTTGTGGTTAGCCAAGCCTGAAACAACTATGTTGTAACACATGGTCAAATGGTGAATACTGCTGAAAAGACAAAGCTTTGCTTTCTCTGCCGGTCAATAAAGTAGATTTTTCAAAAATTGGGAATCACTACAACCACGAGAGTTTCTAAGCAACAGTCATAAATGTGCACATAAATATTAGGCTGATAGTCCAGAAGTATGCCAGATAAACTACAGACCGATAGATACACACACACACAACCAAATGCATGATCCCCCAGGAAATAACAAAACATTTAAAAATAAAAATAAGCAGGAGGCAACTGTGGCAACAGAAAGCACTTTAAAACTTGTAACGATAAATGCCCAGTCAAACATCCACAACAATAATTTTATCATTTCAGCATTTAAAGGTGACCTCCTAGCAAACAAACTGTGGTTTTATTCTCTGCTACATCCCTCATCTTGACCTATCTGTTAACCTTTCTTCTAAATTATGCTGCCTGAACAAGGATACACGCTCCTCTACCCACCACCCACTGCAGCAGCTCAGTTTGGATGAAAAAGGAATTAACTCTTGTGTAATTAAGGTCTCAGTGAGCCCCAATCAAGGTTCAGCCCCCCCACCCCCCAGGCTCCTTCTGTTAGAGAGGATGAGAGGGAAGAAGGTCCAACACAAAGAGTAGTCTGCTCTCCTCTCTTTTTAGAGGAACCATGTTTGATGAGATGACAGTGATGATGTGACAGATGTGTGAAATATGAATTGGATTGCTGCATTAGAAGCCTAAGTGATGAATGTAACACTATGATGTAATAAAGACAGAAAGTTTAGCAGTCTGAGATGGAAAAAAGGTCATACAAGCTGGAAACATTTAAACATGCTGGTGCTTCCAGGCACGAATGAATCATCAAGGGAGTCACATGGATTTGGCTTTAGGGAGGGGAAACTATATTTCTTCAACTAATTCAGCTTCCATCCCATCGAGGGAAAACATTTCAGGTTATAATGTTAAGTTGCAGAGGAAAAAGGCTGACAAAATATATTTATAGGACAGCTTTACTGTACCTAATGTGATGTATTTATTTAGCGTTTACTTTATCAAACAAATTGAAATCTGGAAAAAAAACAATCCAAAGAGAAAGAAAAGTATTTACAAACAAATATAAACCACAAGCCTGAGCTAAAAAACTGCTGACTGGTGTACATTTTAAAGGTCGATTTTCACAAATTACAGAAAAACATATTTTCTCACTACCCAGTAGTGGTATCTGTCAGTGCTGATACTTTTGGTTGTATTCCAGAGGGTGTTATTTCTTTCTGACATTTCTGCCTCCTTGCAATGAGGGTGGATGGAATTTCATTTGTGAGCTTAGAAAGATTTTTCCTTGATGCCCCCCATTGCTCTGCTTTCACACCAACTGCATCAGTGCACCACTGTGCAGACTGAGGGTCCTGATATGCTCAAACAGAACTATTTCATACGATATGTTGTCATTTAAAAATAGGGATAATGGTGAGCATTTCAGGTCTCTCCTGGAAGGCATTCATAACACTGCTCTCAGTTGTTCACATGAAAAATAACTGTCAAGAATGAAAAAAAAGATCTTGACAGAGCAAACCCTAGCTCCTTTGTCACTGCTACACAGCAATCACCACTTGAAGTGAGCGTTAGGGTTGGGCGATGTCTACAAAACTGCCATCGGAACATCAGGATTGACGATGGCATGGGTGGCGGTTTTGTCTTATAAAGGCATGTTTCACACAAAGACTTCACTCGGTAAAAAACACAGCGGTTATTTTACAAGCCACAGTTTACCAGGTAAAGCCACAGTGAACACACAGAGAGCAGATTTTGGTTTTGGTTGTTTGATAGGCTACTTCGCGGGTGGAAAACTCCGGAAAAAAGGCGAGTTCTGTGTCTTTTGGCCGACTTTATAAAACATACTGCTGATGCAGAAGTCAGGGGAGCAGACAGGGAGAGAGAGGCGGGGCGATCTGGTGTGTTTACAGTGAGAAACCAGAGGTGTGTGTGCGTCTGAGTGTGGGCAGAAGAAAAGTCAGAGGGTGCAAAGCAGGTATATTTAAAAATAATAATAAACACTTTTT